CTAAAAAGTATATCACGTTCAGGATTAGCCTTTAAATACCTACTTATATGCGCAACTGCGATCGCAAACGTTGTAATAGTTCATTTTGAGGTTGCGTTGGAATAAAGTAGTTTAATACATACATAAATACACTCACGCCTCAATCCCTCATTTGAAAACTATGACTTACATTTAGGATTTTATGCAGCAATAATTTTGTAGCAAATACATATCGCGGGTCTCACACGTACAGAAATGAAGTATCCCAAAAATAACATTGACAACATATTTAATGGTTCTGTCAAAAACTAAACCAACACGTACATTTTTTATTCTAACACAATATTCGTCACAGTAATCGTTTATTATACAAGTACAGTTACTATTATTAAAATTTATTTACTTTGTGTCTTTAATTTTGAGTCATATTAGCAAATTCCTATAGCCATCTGTCAAAACAGACACCCGTTTTTTTTTAAACTCCCTCTTTTTAGGCTTAGTACAAGCTTTTATACTAAACACAAAAGAAGGGAGAACTTTAAAAAAACTTTATAAGTATAAAGGGTCTATAGGATATATCGATATACAAGTTGTAATATGTAGCCTATTCAGTATAAAATTTGCATACTGTAATTTGCAAACAAGTCAGTGCAGATCAGCGGCATGGCGTAAATACAGTAGGTAGTTAAAACTATATTATAGTAATAAGCTTGTTAATTGTAGTTTCTTGTTTTATATTTGTTCTATTTAGTGTTAAATTCATAGATGTTTTTTATAATATAGTGTTACTCTATAATGCATGATGTAACGCCTTAAAATGTTGTGCATTAATCTCAATATAATGGATGCATGCTTTACATTGTAGTAAATAATGTAACAACTACTGGCTGTCCAATAAATAAATAAATAAAAATACCTATCACAAACACACATATACCTTGTTAATGTTATCTTAAACAAATTATAAAGTTCAGGCGAACTCGTTCACAGAACTTGTCTATTTACACTTTAATTAGTCATGTTTGTATGTGCCTACATGTAATCTTCTTAATTTTACAACGAATTTCCATTTGTTATATCTTGTTCGAAGTTTCTAAGCGGTTTTAATGAACTGTTATGCAAAGAAGGGAATTAATGTTTTGAAGCACCCTTTCATGCGAAGGTGTTTATAAGATTTACATGTAAGTACCTTGTTGTAGCAGGTAGTTCATGTATTATAGTTTTAAAATAAAAACGCATGTTATGCAAACCGATGAGTGTTGAATAACCTTGGACTTCTGATATAAATGAATATTAATGTATTTAGAGTAGTATTTTATGTCGAATAGGATTAAATTTTGCTTGTAATAAAAATCTCCTTTAATTAATTTTGCGATTTAATAAATGGGCTAAAATCGTATTTCTATATTATTGACGACTATTATTAACACTGAGTAATCAGAGCACTTTATTGATTAATTGCCTAAGTAAGCATTGAAATGAAATTGTAAATTCTAAGGTATTACCTGAAGATCGAATAAACTGGTTAAAGTTTGACACACTTTGCGCTCTCGCGACCGTGAATCTCTCTGAACACACACAGCGGGTAACATTGAAGCAAATAATCCAAACTTTTTTAATTTCGCACCGTGACACCGCATTTCTTTTTCTTGACGAGCAAAACGGAATGCAAATTAAACAATGCTTTTCACCTATCTTGGCGGGATTATCAGCTACCCAGCCTTTCTACGGTTTTTCAAGGACTTTAAGTAGTTAAAAGGGTTTTGAACACACATTATGTTTAACTCTCTGTAGCAAGTGGGACGTGTTTTAAGGAGTGATATGTGACCTGATTCCTCTCTGGCTTCGAAAACGATTAATGATTAATGGCTGCTGTTCGGGAATGCTGCACACATGAATAATGATTATTATTTGTAGGCAAATATCTTGAACCGTTGAAAATGAAATACTAAATGCAGGTAATGTAACAAATTGTTACAGATGTTTCTGACTACTGTATTTAAACGCTTTTCATAAATTTTATATCTATCTACAAATGAAAAAAATTTTGCAATATAAAACGCAATTTTTATCTGATTATGACATCTATCAAAAACCGACTCTTTTTTAAATGTTAATAATCTTACTTAAGATTTCCATTATCATGATAAGATTGCGGCACCATTACACATGCTTAACTAATTAACATTGGCATTTTCCGATTCATAACAAACATCGTGGAAAATGCTTATCAGTAACGATTATAATGTAGTGATACGATTGCATCACATTTAATTGTTAAATGCTGTATGATCATTTATTGAGAGACTGCAGTACATCTTGAGCTGCCAATTGTTCTGTTAAAACACCTAAGGCAGTGTTTAGACTTGTGACAACTGTGATTTTTGACAGATGCCTTAGTACTATTCCATTGAAGTACGATAAATTTATGTTGAAATGTGACCTGTTCACATGTAGATCCTCGGTCATTGACCTGGAGCGTCTATCCACTGTGAATAACTGAGTTTCCACCCGCAAAATTATTGTAATCGAGGAAGTAAATTCTGTTCACTTTCTGGCTCTATAGGTAAATTATTATTATTATCACATTCGATTTTTTAATCAATTGGACATTGATAAAACTTTACTAATTTATAAATCTATATATATTATATATATATATATATATAAATTAGTAAAGTTAGATATATAAAGAGATAGGACGTGTATACGTATTGCACAACATATACTTCATCTGTATTGAACTTTTTAAAGACTTTCTTTGACCTATCACTCAAATTTATTTAAGGTAATTAAGAAGAGATTATTCTTTATACATTAACAGACAGATATCGCAATCAGCGTAGCGGCGCCATGCCTGATCACCTTAATAATACAAAGGCGATCATTAAAACTCGTAGGTGTATTAGATTCCTGTTTTTAAAACTCATCCCCATTATAACTTAACAAATGAACTCTGAGTTTGAGGAAGTAGCTACAAGTGGTGACCGCTTGCATATCTCAATAGATGTGTTTATTTACTTAATTAGTTGTGAAAAGAAAATTATAACGCCAAAACTATGTCTCTGAAAATAAAGAGCTAAATGTAATATTTATTAAATGCAGTAAAAGAGAATCTTCAAATTTTCTCTCCATCCACAGTGATATTAAGAGATACAACAGCCTGCGATTTCATAAGAAATAATACACCTATTTTGACATTTTAACCGCAATGTTCAGGTAAAGAGAGAGACCCTGAATTTAGGTTTATTTTTGAGTTTTGTTTTATACGGAATCTGAACCGCAAATGTGACTAAATTTAAATTGTACTGATCATTCGGAGATTTTATTAGACACACATCTTTATCTATTCGACAAAATCCGTCGAAATCGGCCTATAAAATCGATCAACAGAATACAGTCATTTCTTTGTATATCAAGATACTTTGTATGTTATCTTCGTTGCCTCGGTGTCGGTCAGTACATATTATCTGTAGAAAGATGATTATATAAAAGTGATGTAGTAAGTTAGCTCAATAAATTCTTTGCCAAAGATTTGACATACGATTGGTGCATTTTTGCGCTGATCAGCCGTTTTGGGTGTTGGCTACATGACGAAATACAAATTGAACAATGTAAATTGACTTTTTTACTAATACTTCACCTACCTTATGCAATTAGACAGGAAACATTCTCTTCATATCTACGAACTACAAATTCACAAAGTTCGCATTTCTTTTTGTAGTTTTTAGTTATATTTTTAAACATCCTATCCGATTGTGTGACTAACATACCTACGATCGGACAAATTTTATCGTGTATACATGCATCAAGGGTACATTCAAGATAAGCCATTTGTTGTTTTTTTTTTATTAATGTATTATATAAGTTGCGATACTGATAAAAATGCGGTTTGCGGGAATCTAAAGTACCTCGATAGGTATAACTCTTATCAAAATCACATTTATATCATTTGCAACGTAAATATTGATAATAATCTTCTTCTGTTTGCAAATATCGCTTCTATGTCAATATGGTAAGAGTTTTAAATGATAACGTTTAGTTACCGTGCGTGTTATTACAGGCTAGACGCTAGTATTTCCTTGTTGTAACTGTGGTCTACACGCCTCCTCAATAATTTTTAACGTACAAAAATAGAATAATATTTATGTTCCAATTTTTTTGTTAACTTTTGTCTAATAAATTGTTCTAGCCCTTTAGACATTATTTTGGTGAATATTTAAAACTAGAATTTTATTGTTATTAACTATTGATATCAATATATCGAAGTATTATACCAGGGTAGTATAATTTAAAAAAAATAGAAGTGAAATCTAGGAATTTACCCTTTATATTGACACTAAATACTTGAAGTTCTAAAGCATTTCTACATTTGTGCCTCTTTTTAATTGAAATCGTATTCATAACGAAATGTAATTAAACATTTATTTATATTTGATCAGGTACATATCAAATATAACGCAAACATTGCGAGGATTTCATTGATATCTGCAAATATTATATTTAATCACTTTGAATTTAGGTAAAATCAACACGACAATAAAATATCAAGTAGATAAAAGCCAAATTTATATCGTTAATCAGTCTTCCATATTTAAATTTAAAAAAGCCAGTGATGTGGTGCCTGATCGTGTGAGTGTGTGAATATTAAAATCAACTAAAATGTTACAAATCGCGCTGGTGCCAATATGCATCACAATTGGACTCACATATCTCAACGTAACTAAGTGAGTAGATAACCCTAAATGTACGGAAATAATTTATATACAGATAATCTACTTTTTATTTTTATTCTATTATTAAATGGGTGAGAATAGAAAGTAGTTTGTATAAAATTAAAAGTATATACTAATAAATACACTACCATTATATTTATGTACTGAAAAAAATACGCTAAAGTCACGACCATGGAGATAATGACCTTATAAATGCACACTATTCCGCCAACTCAACTGAAATTAGAAACATAGTGAGTTAGTAATGACCCCGTAATAATAACCCTTATTTTTCTTGTCTTCCAGGAACGCTTACAGTAGAAGAGGTGTACAAAGACAGGGATCAGTTCGCGGGTCTTGTTCGCGAGGTTGCGGCACCGGACGTCGGACGCATGGGCATCGAGATCCTGTCGTTCACGATCAAGGACGTATACGATGACGTGCAGTACCTCGCCAGTCTCGGAAAGGCGCAGACAGCTGTCGTCAAACGGGATGCCGATATTGGAGTTGCGCAAGCAAACCGAGATGCGGGGATCAGGGTGCGTTAAAAGAAACGTTCATCTTGTTGTCCTGGTCCAATCCTTCCATTAAGGTTTTCGGTTAAGGCAGTAGTCTTGGTCACCATCGCTTTAACAACCAGTTCTTTTCTTTGATCATCAATTGTTTATTGATGGCTAGGAATATTAAATTAGACTACGAGTTCAGTAGGTGTAACCAACTAGAAGTTACACGTACAGTCGCTAACCATATTTTAAAGAAAACGGTCTGTGTCTTCTCAATTAAAATGTACTGATTAGTGGTGATTCATGGTTTCCAGGAGGCAGAATGCGAGAAGAGCGCCATGGACGTGAAGTACGCGATGGACACCAGGATAGAGGACAACACGCGAATGTTCAAGCTACAGAAAGCACAGTTCGATCAGGAAGTCAACACTTCGGTAAGTGTAACTTAATAGCGTTAAGCTCTTGTTTACTGATAATATAAAGATAACTTCTATTATAAAGTTAACTTCAAAATCCAACCAAATCAGTCAGTCAAACAGTCAGCCACCAAGCCATAAAAAAATAGCCAAGGTAATGTTTTATTTAATTTAAAAATGATTTTTTCATTTTGCAGAAAGCCGAAGCCGCTTTGGCGTACGAGTTGCAAGCGGCCAAAATAAAACAAAAGATTCGAAACGAAGAGATACAAATAGAAGTAGTAGAGAGACGCAAGCAGATTGAGGTAAGCAAATTGCATTGAACAGTTTTTTTCTACTAAGTATTGCATTTGGGCAGCTGCCAACAAAAGTACTACTACATCATTCTCACATTTTTCTTCTTTGAATTGTTTCTATTGCTGCGTAGGTGGCGAATTGTATGACTGAGTAATTCGTTTCTGTGATAAGCGCCCCGTTGTTGTTACAACTGTATCAACCAATCGATTTGAATATGCTGTTTTAGTATCTATACCCCCTTTGTAATATTTACTTTTGTTGATTATGGATAAAATAATCCATAATCTATCAAGTAGTCGACAAATGCTTTGCCGCTCCCAAGAATCAGGGAACCGGAGACCCGAAGGGTTTGGGCTGCAGTTACCACACTCACTCAGTGAATAGAACTGAAAGAATTGCTTAACACAATTTTTCAGTGACGCAATGGTACCACTATGGTCAAGCCGGTTACACGGAGTCGTGAACACAGAGCATATGAGTTAGAGTACGTTTCTTGCTTATGACCCAGCTTGTGATAGACATAGTTGCTAAATCTTAAACTTATATCTGTTACATTCGTTACTCAGGTAGAACAACAAGAGATTGCTCGTCGTGAGGAGGAGCTGAATTCCACGGTGCGCTTGCCCGCCGAAGCGGAGGCTTACCGTCTGCAAACCATAGCGGAGGGCAAACGGTACGTTCTGATTATTATCATAACACATGTGTGACTATGTAGTTAGATATTTATTTATATGTTTTTAAAACATTTTTTTCTAAAAACACGTGATGAATTTTAATACCCGAAGAAATATCCTTTTACGCATTTTAAAGATGTTTTAACGAATTAAACTAAGTAGAACTCGACTGCACGGATGGCGTAGTGGTTTAATCGGTCGCCACACCGCTTGCTACTACAATGAGTGTTGTGGGTTTGATCCCCACATGGAACGACCCTTTGTGTGATCTTCAAATTGTTGTTCTGAGTCTGTATGTTCTTTGTGTCCCTTTGATGGATGTTTGTAAAGTCCCCCGCGACATAGGATATATTCCTAGTATGGGAATTGTCTTGTCAAATAAAGTCCTTCAGTGTCAATATTTGACCGTAAAGTGCGACCAAAGTAAACTACGCCGGACTGTGTGAAGGAGGATATGTCTAAAGGAGGATATGTCTAAAAAGTAAGATGACGAATGCCAGAGTAGAAAAAAAGCACATTGTACTGACCACAAATAAAACTATCAAAATTACAAGACGGGTATATTTTTTTCCCAAAAAGGACAATAAAATATAACAAATTACCGCCTTTTTCGATTTTCAGCACTCAAACAGTGGAAACAGCGAAGGCAGACGCTGAACGCATCAAGGTCCTGGGTTTGGCGGAGGCCGCAGCCATTGGCGACGTGGGTAAGGCGGACGCTGAGCGTATGTTGGCGAAGGCCAAGGTGTACAAGCAGTACGGAGAGGCTGCCATCATGGCTCTCGTGCTCGAGGCCTTGCCTAAGGTAAGAAAAACTAAAATAAATGATGGAGAAAATTTGTACATTACTCCATTATATGGCAATTAATAACGGTTTTAAAGCGTAGTTAAAACACCAAAATCTAAAGTGTAAGTCGTTAAGAGGGGAGCGTGTTAATGTTTAAAATTGATGTACTTTAAAAAACCCAAAAATATTTAAAATGAATTTATTTGTTTTATTGCTGATACCGTATATCCGTGTGGTGACGGATTAAGAATACGCAGTGTCACCACCCCTATTTATCCCGTGGGTCTCAACAGCTCTGCAAAGGGAAGGAAAACTTGAAACAAACCCTATACCAACCCGTCTGGCCAGTGGTGTAGTAGGCCAAAACCACATTTCTAAGTAAAGGCCTATGTCCAGTCAGTGGAGTACTAAAGGCTGTTGATGATTGCTGATACAAAATATAGTTACTTTTTAATACCGCGTAATTTTAAATATATCATTTCCATTAAAAATAGCTTGATGAGCATTTATACACTAACTCGGAAAGGGCAGCTTTAGTATTTGAAGTCTTTACTACATAAGTCAATAAAACCTAAAATATGTATTTATGCATAAACAGAAGTTACTAATAACATAAAAAAAGAAATTTTGAATATAACTATAATATAAAAAGCCTTATATACATAGGAACCGTCCCTAGTGTCCGTTCAAGTCGGTAGTACCTAGGTAAACAGAAAGCGTTGTGCTATCGACGCCATTTGAGTATTATAGCTGAAAATAGCGAATTTTAATCATATTTATAATTTCATAGAGACTAACTCCTTGTAAGAAAACGAATAAGCACAAAACGGTGAAAATTTCCAGATCGCTGCGGAGGTGTCGGCGCCGCTGGCCAAGACGGACGAGATCGTGCTGGTGGGCGACTCGGGCGCCACGGCGGACGTGGCGCGGCTCGTGGGCAACATCCCGCCGGCCGTCAAGACGCTCACCGGCCTCGACCTCACGCAGGTCATGAAGCGGCTGCACCCGCAGACCGCCACCGGTCAGTAGGCTACCTACTTAGACCTTATATACTTCTTATTGTTTTTATGTAAGTGTGTTTTGCTACCTTTTTATTTTGCTTTTTAAATTTCGAAAAAAGAATACGTTTCGTGTTCGTGGTGCGCATTTTAATCAATATGTAATATGTAATCATCATAATATCAGAACAATGGCGATATAATAAAAAAAATAGTAGAAAAGTATTTGATCATAAGATTTGAGATAATCGATGCATGTGCATTTTAAGTTGACATGCTATTGTGATAGAAATAACTGTATTCTCTGTACTGTCTCTCTGGTATGAATCGAACCCACCACCACCACTTAGCAACAGTGTTTCCACTTTAATGATTTCTTTTCCCCACGCCTCAATTCAAATTTCCCCTTCTCGGGGCTTTTTTCCCCTCAAAAATTTTTCTGCTGTAGTTTTTACTTTTGGCCAATTCTATGTTAAAAAATTAACTGGAGATGTAAAAATATATAGAGTTAATAATATCAGGAGAATATTCGCCTCAACAAAAATGTTTCTACCTAGATTTGATAAAAAATATATATTTCAAAGTTACAGTATTACAGACGGCCAATTCATGTAATAAAATTTCGATCACAATTCAGTTCAGATCCACTCGATCTTACAACTCTCACAACGATACGTGAGTGGACATCCTTTCTTGAAATCTTTTTTCTTGCTCATAGTTTCGCATATGCTCATTAAAGAAAGTAGTTGCTATGGCTTTAACAAAAGCACATCCTCTTATTAATAATTGTTTTTGTTACAAAATAAATAATATAATAAAGGGCATTTTTGTTTCAACCCATCTTTTTAACTAATTTAGTGTTTTCAACAGACACTACTTTGAACGTGAGCACTAACAAGAAGAAGACTCCAGAGGTAACAGCATGCTAAGCAGCATATAACACAACTGCCTTATTCCTCTATCGTCACACGTGCCATAGAGTACATACGGTGTTGTCATTATACAATATTATATTAAACTATGGTAGGATTTTTAAATTAAGATGCAAATTAGACAGTGTTTGGATGAGACATAAAGAATTATATTAGAATTCCAGTTTGTCGTAATATGGTGCTCTTTTTGTAAGTTAAGGATCCTACAGATCTTTGTTTACCTAATGTTTTTCCACCAACCAAAAAATGTGACTTGTCAGTGTTGATGATAAAATGGAATAAAAGAAAACCAACAAATATTGTTGATATATGAAAAAAATACAATAACATATCAATGGTGTTCTTGTATACAATATTTATATTTGCAATGACAAGGTCAGCTTGCATTTAAGGCCGACGTTGACGAGGGCAGCGCGCCATTTTCAGGTTGTAATATCTATTTCTCTTAACCCACGTATTTCCATCGCACTTGACATTGGCATAATTGTCGACATCGGCACAGTTTGCCATATAATAAGAAGAAGAAGAAGGTTGTAATATCCTAGTTAATATAGAGGTTCATTCATAGAGATATAAGCATCGAGAGAATACGGAATAAAGCTGCCTGTAAGTGGAAGTGATACAGGCAACGAGAGAGGGTTGCCCGATAGTTCCCTCTGTCTTTGTTTAGCTAAGCTGCGATTGGCTACTTATTAACCCCTCATATACCCCAGCCAACCACAGAGCACGACTTGAAAGTGATAGAGATATCTATCTATTATCTCTCGTTGCCTATATTGCAAGATTGGGGCTCTTGTTCAGTCTATACTTATATTCTACGGGTTAATTTCAGTCAAGGTGTTTGTCCCAATTTTTTATTTAGATAAAGTTCTTACTGTATATGCTTAATTTTTCTGCAATTTCACTCAGTACTAATAATATTTCCAATCAATCTCTCGAGCTCTGTAGATGCGCCACGCGACATAACTTACAAAACTTCAAACCCTTTCGAATTTGCATCTTTATTGAACAAAGTGTTAACAATATTATTTATAATATCATTATATGCGTGTGCATTTCAAAACAAGTTATTCCTTGCTATCATAAGTAAATCTGCTAAGCTGTTTATCACCGTCGTATTCGAGTTTCTATGTCATATTTAAAAATATTACATTTTGAAATCGAATACCCATTTGTACCTCATAGTAGTTCGTAGCATATTTATGTAAACATAGAGAACCGAAGATATAATATATTTTTCAATAGTGACTACAGTTCTAATGTCTTTGTAATGTAATTGTTAGATTTTGTACAACTGCGTAATGTGTAACTTTAATAAAGGCAATATTTTGGCCGATTTGCTAGCCAACAAGTAATCAAACATGTTGTGTAGCATGTTTGCCAATAATACTAGGCCCATTTTAGACGACGTGTTCTTTAAGGCACTGCCTCTTTTGTGTGATTTTTACCATTGTACTGTGTAAACATTTATTTAGAGATCAATTCAGTACATAAAATCTCGTGTACATTTTTGAGTACTCAGTGTTATTATTTCATTTTATTTGTTTTCTAATTTATAATTAATCTGTGACAATTGTATAAGTTATAGTTATGGAGTGTAGAGGCAAGGAGAACCATCTCGTATCGGGGAAAGTTGAAAAAGTGTCCAGGTGTATACTGAAAATAGAAGTTGCTGGCGTAAAACTACGTTTTCTTTATTTATTTCTTTAACTTCAACATTATTTTATAAACATGAGACATGATATACATTTTTGTCCATACGAGTATTAACATAGGTGTTGTAGACGGAGTGAAGTGTGCTCAGTAATAATAACACTACTAATACTATTATTGTCTGAAAGTTTCTACACGTTATTTATTCACCCACCCTAGCCTTTTTTGCTGGGTGCGCTTATGGAGGACGGAGGTCGTTCCGCGACCTCCGGCGCCTGAGTCGTCTGCGGTACCGGGTCCGTTCCCGGGCCTGGCGGGCCGGGAGAGTTCTAAACGTCTCCCGGTCCCGCTCCGCCATCTCCTTCGCAAGCATGACTTGCTCGCAGAAGGAGACGGCGGAGTTCCACGCACTCTCCCTCAAGTGTCCTAGGCACTTGTCCCTTAAGTGTCGCAATTTATCCTAGGCTACCGTATCGCCACCCTTATTGGACGCGTTTTTACGGACACTTTTCATACACAGAGATCCTTCTCCTTGCCTCTACCTTCCATTCATCTAGTCCACGAAACTGGCCATTCCAAGTCGATGGTATAACAATTTTGATATTTAATTTTTATTCAGAAGAACATATATCTTTTAAAAAGAATAATAAGAATATACAATTTTAGCGATTTTTGTATCCTGTGTGAGTTTCCTTTGTATTATCTTGACATTTCTTCAAATTAACAAACAAATACCTACAATAAACCAAATATAGTTTATGAATTAGATAATGCGTGTTATGAACCTCGAATCGTATGACTATTAGTGTTCATAAGTATAGCATTTGTTGGTGTGTTCAAATAAATTTGCACAATAAACTTTTGTATTTATGTTTGTTTATCAACTAATGTAATCGATTGATATTATTTTTGAATAAAATATATGCAATAGTATTGTGTATCATTTTTTTTTAATAAGCTGAGGTAATAAATTATGCTTTGCATTCAAACTACTTCAAAAAGACATTTTTAAGGAGCAAACGAGCAGACGGCAGACGGTGTACGTGACTACCGCCGTTGCCGCCCACCCCCGAATCGAGGAGGGAGGGGAGGGGATTTGAACTCCGGAAAAATTGCCTAACACCAGTTTTCTGTGAAGCCGTAGTATGTTCATCAGCAGTCTGGTTACCATGGTTACAAACTCTGCTTTATTTGGGATCAGACGGCCGTGTGAGATGTGTAAGGTTATCATTATTACCTCCTGCAGTAGTGCGCAAACTCATATAAATGAATATCGACTTAGTTCTAAAGAATAAGAAAAACTTTATTTGTCTGTTAAATCACAAACTTAAAATTAATAACAGTACCAACTTGAAAAACAATACTTACAAGACAAAATGGTCTTGGACTCAGCATATGGATGACAGTGCAAAGCATGCCAGCCGCTGTATTCTGTCCAAGCCAATCATGGTTAACAATCTTAGAATAAGCACAACGGCATCATCCTGACTACGACTTGACCACGTTTGTGTACGTGAACATTATCACTCCACATTCTGGTAACAATTTGTGGAGGAACGGGTGTCATGTCCCTCCAACACAACGGGAGGATCATCCAAACTGGCGAGGTGATCATGCCTAGCGGCCGCGGCCCAACGGTTGATGTTCTGAAGTTGTATATATATATATATATATATATATATATATATATATATATATGTTTGTCTATTCTTCATATCGCAATACAGGATTAGCAATTCTCATTCAGGAGCTACTCAGCATTTCGGTGTGTCTTCTTTGGATGGCGCTGTAGTATGTTTTTATTTCTTTGTATGTGGGAGGTCGATATCTTGATGACTGAGCTGTCTATGCCATGTTGTAGAGCGTGCCAGTGCCAGTAGTGAGTAGTTCCAGTGAGTCGGGGCTGAAGTCCGCTGATCCCAGTGAGTCGGGATAACTTCTCGTCTTAGCTTGCTTGCCGTTCAAATGTTAACTAGAATTCATAGTAAAATGTATTTGTTAAATTACATTGTGTACTTTTAAAACACTGGTCAAGAAATAACAACTATGTAAATATACACTATACCCACATATAGATAATTATTATTCCTACAATATAGGGTGGGATCTCCTAGGTCCGCAATGAAATCGAAGTACGATGTGGTTTGCTTATAGATAGATACTAAAGCTTTAAAAACATTAAAATACAAAGAAAGAGTAATATACTTCGCATTCATACATACATTAAATATATAATTCCAAAAGAACAATTCTTTAAGTACAAAATAAAAGAAAATGAAGTTCAGCATGTACCTATACAGGACGCACGAGAGCGGCCGGCCGTTCGAAACCGAAAATGGCGATCTCACATCGCTGTATTTAGTTCTTCGATAAATAAATATACTTCCCTCCGATTTGCAAAATACAATTACTCCAAGTAATATTAAATATAAACTGAAGTCTCATTTTCTCCAGAACATGGAAAGCCTACTAATAAAGCCAAATACTTCGTTATCAAAGAAAATACAATCAACTAAGAAAAAAAAAATCCTAGAGTATGCACTTGCATGCCTATATTATATTATGTACTCGTATAGTACGGTACTGCTGAGTATTGGCGCTCGTGACCGTCTAACTCGAGTCACGCTGCGCTTCTGCGGCCAAGCTCTACTCTCTCGCTTACCCCCTCTTTAGCTCATCACACATTTTACACTTTTAACATCAGTGAAAGAAAGATTTGAACAGTTCGACTCTCATTCTAAATTATGGGGATTTTATATAACATACACAATTTACTACCAAAAAAAGAACTTCTGAAGCTATGTCTTAATCTAGAAAAAAGCTTTCAGTGGGTTCACAAAATGACGTCAATGGGAATTTTTAAATAGTATTTAAAAAATAAAATGGAAAAGATGAAAGTGGTCCGTTACATGTAATTAAATTTTATTAAAATATAAAGAAATCAGAAGATTTATATTCGAACCTATAAATAGCTATGTGAAAACTGGTGATAATACCAGTTACGGTCGCAACGGGAGATAGATCTTTTTCAAAACTGAAACTTATAAAAAAGGTTTTAAGCTCGACAATGACACAAGAAAGACTGAGAAGTTTAAGAAGCTTATCTACTGAGCATGAAATAGCTCAAGAACTTGGAGCTCCGTTACCAACACTGTACGTAGATTATCCAAAATTAGAAATCTAATGGAATCTGATTTCATAATTTCTAACTCCAAAGAGAGAAAGTCAAAATAAGAGCATTTTGACTCCTTGTTATTTAAATTGTATAATTTTCTATTTGCAATTTTAAATAGAAAACAAATGATAACATAGAAAAATAAAGTTATAGTCGGTTTTTAAACCGTAACTAAAATTTTCCTAAACTATCGGTTAATCTATACATACAAATAAATAAAATTGTCTCAAAATAATAGGTTTTTTCATGCTTACACGTTTATTTGCAAGATACCTATGCCTACAAACCAGTTTAAATATTTTTTGTCTATCTGTCTGTCTGTTTGTTCCGGGTAATCTTCAAAACTGCTGTACCGATTTTTATAATATTTTACTGCCAAATAGCTGTCTATATAAGGAGTAACTTAGACTATTTTTTCTCTCAGAAAAACCATACCTACAAAATTTTGCCTAGTCCGGGAATCAAACTCATTAAGGCAGCGCTTTTCAAATTCCCCGCGAACGAAGTCGCGGGCATCAACAAGTCTCAAATAATTTCATATCATAACCTTATGTTAAACATTAGAACTTAGGCTTGGAATACACACGTTTGGTGTATGTCTGTGAGAAGAATTCCCTTTGTTTTTGAAAGTCGAAAATCAAAAAGAACATGAATATATCATCGAAAATAATAGGCGTTATCACTGACACTATCTTATTTGTATTTTAATAAATGTTATCATTTTGCTTCGTAAATATCAGCTCTCACTATTAAGTAATAAAGCTTAAGTATACATCTACATAAAAAAACATTTTCCAGGCAGAAATATTTACGACAGTGTCGTTAGATGAATAGTTTTACTAAAAGCTTATCGGTGAAAACTACAATCCTCTGTCTACTAGCGTTTCTGAGATACAGAGAAAAATCTCTAGGAACAAAATTGAGGATTATAAGATATATTTAGATAATATGAACGTTTATTGCCACTTAAAGCTTATCAGATAGAGATATGTTTCAAGCGTTGATAACGTTAGGATGGAGACGTAGTTTGTTTCCATACGACAATTGTTTGCGGTTGTCGCCTAATCTTGTACGGGTCCAAAGTACACTGGTCATCACTTTCAATTATAGGTATTCAGATTTGTCATCAAGCATTGGAAATCAAAGTTGTAACTTATTCCAATGACATCAACAGCCTTTAATAGTCCACTGCTGGACATAGGCCTCTCCTTAGAAAGAAGGTTATAACTTATTCCAATACTCAAACGTAATTTCCTCCTGTGTATTTCTTATGTTTTCGAAGTGTTTTCTCTATATCTCATGTTCTAGTGTAATCTAAATAGATAGAAACGAACCAAGAAAGCTAGGTTTAAACTTACAATCCTCCTTCATATCTTAAGTCATCATCATCAGCCTATCACACTCCACTGCTGGGCATTGGCCTCACCAATTGCATGTCACTTAGACGATCTTAATCTTAAGTACCCATTCCGAATTTCACGTTTCTCCGGTTGCTGAATTGTCTTGAAAATTAGTACAAAGAATTCAATTCACGCATTAATATACATATACACCAAAGTAAAATTAACTCAACAATAAACAATTAAATAGGTAAAAATATCGTATGACATGTAACAGTGGACACATTTGCTTAGTCACTTTCTTGACAATATGTAGGTAAGTATATATAAACATTAACCGGAATCTAACTTGATTTAGACCTAAATTATCAATAGCGCGATACAAGCTAGCTCGCATCACTAAACTACAGACATGTGGTATCTTAATACATTTGTATTACTCGTCGTACTTGGGCCATCTTTTCAAGTAAGTTTTCTTCTAAAACGGAAGATATGTTTTTTTCTTTTTTATATAAGACAACTGTGGTCCCATGTCGGGATCGATCCCACAACACTCAGCGTAGTAGAAAGCGGCGAGGTTACCGCTTAGACCACTTCGCCATCCGTGCAGTCGATAATCGAGTTTTTGTTAGTGAATAAGTATTCAGTAATATCATTTTTAATACCGATTAACTAATACTAATAAGGATTACGTGGGAGAGCCGTGCTTCGGCACAAATCGGCTCCCTCGAAGTCTCACAGAAAACAGGTGTTAATAAATTCTTTCGCCGCTTTTCACCGAACGCGAGAGGTTATCGCGAGCCCATACCTCCTTCCCCTGATTCTGTTAGGGCGAGACTCAAAGGGCGCCAACGCACTCCTGAGTTGTATGTGTCCATGGTTAGCGGTAGTCACTTACCATCAGAGGCACAAGTGTGCGTTTATTTTACGTCAACTCGCTCGTCACGGTGAGCGCGTTCGGCGCTGTGATTGGCCCGCACTGAAATCTGCACCAATGGCAACGCCGAACGCGCTCGCTGTCGATAGCGAGTAGATGTGAAAGGAACTCGCACTTGGGCCTCAGGTGACCCGTCTGCTCGTCTGCCTCTAAACTATATAAAAAGTTCTAATAGGAATACGGTCAGTCGTTCGGTAAGCGGTTCGCGAATTATTCGTATATAAATAAACTATACGTTACGATTATAGAGTTACCATATTTTATATCAGACTGGTAGTAACTGATCTTAAAGTGTTAAAAAACAAAATAAAAATTGCAAATTTTCAGATTTAAAATATTATTGGTGTTACAGACGTCCACCCCCGCAGATGATCACTACGTAGCAGCTGTAGTCGAGTACAGAGTCAATAGAAGTAGTGTAGAAACCAACAGAGATAACTATGTGGTCCTTATACAGCAAGCCGCACAACAGGTTCGTACATGTTCCACTATAATTGATGGTGTCAACACTTTGACCACTGGTTGTGTGATTAACGTAGAAAAGGATAAAGAAACTACTCAAATCTGGGATGAAGAGCCATTAAATCTAATTTATAGAAAACGAAAAAGTGTACAAAACATTCACATTGTCACATTAATCAGCTTAACTTATTCTTTGGTAATACTAAATGTAGGTACGTAATACTAAACGGGCGACTGCTGATCTATTTCACATTTATATATATTATAGTTACATACTATAGTTATAGTACATATATATGTACTATAACTATAGTATGTAACTGTTATTTATATTTATATTACATATATGTTACATATATTATAGTTACATTGAAGGATTCACTTGCTAGGCTGTTAATGAAACTCTTATTATATATATAAACTATTATATAATCTTCTGTCTCTGAGGTTGGGGTCGGCTTTAAGTCTACTACGATACAGCTGAACCTGGACTGCCATGAGACCTCCACAACCTAAGTATTAAGCGAAAGCTTTTGTATAATACACACACACATATCTAAAAAACATCTTGATAGAATAATCTAGAACGTTCAACACTATAAGTTAATATTTAAAAAATTCTTAGTCAATGAAATAAGATTTTTTCTTCTCATAATTCCAGAATGCAGACGTGATTGTATTCCCGGAGATGACACTTGGTGTTGGCTCAACTAATGTCACAGTCCCTATCCGTGGTCTACTGCAAGAGTATCCCATACCAGCACTGAGACCAGATCTTTACGATGATGTATGTATATGTAAATTTTTTAACCTTTTAAATTAAATCTTCTTCAGTCAATGTAAGAAGTAGAGCTAGAAGAAAAATAATTTAATTATGTGGTCTCTTACTTCAGTGGACTTATTGGCAATTATATTTTTCTAAATAATTTACTATAATTTCAGGGGCCTGTTGGTCTAGTGGTTAGTGATCCTGACTACTAAGCCGGGGGTCGTGGGTTCGATTCCCACCCAGGACAGATATTGTGTGAACGGTCATTTGTTCTGTGTCTGGGTGTAATTTATCTATACTATGTATGTATTTAAAAATATATAAGTATGCTTATCAGCAGTCTGGTTTCCATATTACAGGCCGTGTGTGAAATGTGTGAGATATAATGCCTTCCCAGAATTCGGTCAGCACATCAAGAAGCATTTCTGAGAATTTAGGGGATTTAAACACATCTACATGTGTAATCAGTGCGGCAATTAAAGTAACTCCTCAGACATTACATATGCAAAATCTAGTATTTTATTTTATTTAGCAAGCATTTTCTGGATGAGTAATTAGTATTAAGTATGTCTAAGACTCCTTAAGGATTGTTTTTAAGCGTAACCATCAAGATGGCTATAAGCTTATTCTGCTGATTTGTCAACTTAGAAGTGTGTATAGTAAAAAAAAACCTACTCCAATGTATTTATTTTGTTTTTCAAATATTTCAGTTACTTGTGGCGCTGTCGCAAGCGTCGCGACAAAACCAGATTTACGTGGTGATAAACATTCGCGAGAATATGAACTGTATACAACCGCTAGAAGGCGAGGAATGTCCGGAGCAGAAACAGTATTATTTTAACACTAACGTTGTATTTGACAGGAATGGCGCAGTTATAGACAGGTACTTAATACCTTTTTTAAAGTTATTTATAAATTATAGTTTGTGTTCAATACTACTTTAAGGTTTTTTTTTTAATTTGTTATTAAGCGTACATTTAAACTATTACACTGTACAATGAATCACAAAACAACTTTCGCAGTTTGTCTGTGTGAACAAAATTGACTTTCAATTAATCAGCCGAACAATATTGCGATTATACAAACTCAATTTAATAATGTAGATACTTAATATTATAAAAGTATATTATAAAAGTATATATAGAACAGTACAGTCACGTAGTATCTAATAGGAACACCTTAAACAATCTTGACACAAACCCTATACCAACCCGACTGGCCAGCGTGGTGTAGTAAGCCAAAAACTAATTCCTATGGAGAGGCCTATGTGCAGCAGTGGACAATTAAAGGCTGTTGATGACGAAGCAATCTGGAGAATTTATTTTTATTTGGCTCCTATATTATCCTAATGCCAGCAGGTATGCTGTTACTCGAGGCACATCATACCTGCCTGCAGATACTGTTCTAGTATTATACGTGTTAGTTACTAGTTACCTATTTATTTTTTGTTATATTTCAGATACCGAAAGATTAACCTATTTGGTGAAGCCAGCCACACACCTGCGTTGAAACCTGATCTTGGAATATTCACAACCGACTTTGGCGTCACTTTCGGTCACTTCATCTGCTTCGACTTGATGTTTCAAATTCCCTCCACTCAACTCGTCCAGAAGTATAATGTCACAGATATTATCTTTCCTACAATGTGGTTCTCGGAGATGCCCTATTTGACTGGTTAGCAGATTCGCTAAATTTCACTTTTGAATGATAATATCGATGCATCATCCTAAGCATAAGATCCTTTCTTTATTTAATATCTGTCTCTCGTCATGTCTTGTCATTGCTTGGATGACATAACAAATATGTTTTCGAGAGAGATGCTGTGGTATAATCTGCAATCAGAGGCCCAAGTGTGAGTTTATTTCACATCTAGTCGATCATGACAGCGTTGCGATTGGCCCGCACTTAAATCTTCACCAATCGTAACGACGATCGCGCTCGCTGTCGAGAGCGAGTTGATGTAAAAAAAAACTTGCCCTAGGCCTTCTGATGACTGCTATGGCACTACTATAGCAATGGGTTTTGGTTTACCGTCAGATTAGAGATTATATTTATTATTATGCCATTTTTTTGTACTTGAATGTAATTCCTGTATTTATGCTTAAATGTTTAACATTAATAACTCAGTATTTTTTAAGGTTTTTAACCCTATTTTCAGCCGTTACAATTCAAGAATCTTATGCATATACAATGGATGTCAATTTCTTGGCGGCTGGTGCCAATAACGTTGGCGTTGGAAGTGCTGGTCAGTTATTACATTTATTCATAATTAGCTTTAATTTATTCATTTTTATGATTTATTGATACTTCCTGCAAGTGATATTATACTGATTACAGTTCGTCAGGCGGACTTTTACCATAGCCGTTTTGTTCAGATCAACCTCTGGATGGTCCAGAGCTCTGCGCTGCAGAGATACATATATTTTGAAGGCCTAAGATAAAGAACTAAAAAAACTTATGTTACTTAAATTAGTTTCCATACATATACCAAATTATATTCTTTGTATTTTTTCGCTTCAGTTGCGTTCATATGTACCCTCGGGAACAAAATAATTATCTTAATAAAGGTTATAATCCTTTCTGTATACCTAACAACGTAATGAAAGCGCAACAAATCAACAAATAGCAAGAACAACAACCGTACTTTGGGATGAGTAATAAGGTGATTGTCAATCAAGAAGCAGTTACTGACTCTGTGATTCCCATGTTACGACACTACAATCAAGAAAATAAATGAGCTTTACAGTAGTCGCATATAATGTTTAACATCTGAAATTTCACCTACTGATGGCTAACTTAAGTATCGCGCGCTTTCGTTAATTCAATAAGCTTGATTTGCTTGTTTTACAGAGTTCCGTCTCTTCTCACGAAAGCACTCTAACAGATTGTAGAAAAGTGAGAGGCAATGGCACGGCAACCATCAATGGATATGATGCTACTTCCAACCGTAGCAAAAGGGCAATCTTACTATTACCAAAATCTTAAAACCTTGTTACCTGTACTGACACAAGGTTATAGTGTTCTTTATTATTTTCATAATAAGAAATCATTTTAGGCTCCGGGATATATTCCGGCAAAGCGGGTGCGTTGGCAGCCATCATGCCAGGATCACCTACGACGAAGCTGCTTGTATCGAGAGTTCCGAAAATACCAGGAAAAGTAAGTTCCTTATCTATAGTACCATACCAAAAAATGTACATTATTAAATTCCTAACTACAAAAAAATATCAAACTATATAATATCTGTCTAATGTTGTTCAATATCTAATGTCCATACTTTTTTTTTATTCTAGTTCTAGTTTTGTTTAAGAAATCATAAAATCTTTATTTTATGTGAAATGGCGTTTTTACCACGCTGCGCTTGAAGTTACGGAAGTATCTTTAATGCGAAAAGACAGCCTTTGGTGACAACATAGTTTTCATCAAATTAGTACGAGTGTATTAATTTATTCGCAGGTAACTGAAACTCCTTCCGGTCGAATAACTGACAGCCCCGCGAACCTTGACAATCTGAGATTGAAACAAGATCCTTCTATCACCGCACACCTCACCAGACCTCTAGTAGAAGGATTGCAGGAATTTACCATTGTGGATAAAGAAGTCTCTTGCAGATTCAGGGTTAATCTTAGCAATAGAAGCAATACGGTGAGTTTTATTTTAGTACAGCTATTTATTTCTAATAAAATTACTGGTGTTTAGGGGTCTATTGCATGGTACAATCGCGCGTCCCCGTAATTAACCTGGATTTATATTAAAACACATAAACGATCAGGTCGCCGAGCGAAGAATCATCATATGCTTTTTCGAGAGAGTGAAGTGTTAAATAAGTAATAAGTTGACGGAACAACTCATTTTGAAAACATATTTAGAGAGACACTAACAACCATTTTTTATATATGAAATGTTGTTTTGTCTTTCAAGATTGAATTTTTGCTTTAACTAATTCAATGTTTATTAATTCTCCTTAAACCCTCTTACGATAGTTGTCGCCGATTTCTGCTTGAATATTGCGACCCGAAGCCGTATTTGTTCAAACATCTGTTTTTACAGAAATACCAATATAGAGCGGCGGCATTTAGCGGGGTAAGGACTCACAGTGGATTTGCAAGTACTGGATCTCGTATCTGCGCCATTTTAGCTTGCAACGGAGATACTAAAGACACCTGTGCAATAAGGTAAGATTCCGTGAAATCCAAATCCATCCAAACCTCATTTATACAATAATCGGTCTTACATAACATTAGACATTTATAAAATTAATACTCTAAAATTAAGACTCATAGTTTTATAAATTTAATTAAAAACAAAAAGAATTGAAGGAATTATACATTCCCTTAGTTTAAGTGTACTGAGCATAAATACATTAGGTTTGCCGTTGCTTCATTCAATATTATAAACCGATATTCATCATCATCATCAATAGCCTTTAGTAGTACACTGCTATACATATCCCTCTCCTTAGAAAGGAGATTTAGCACTATTATAACACGCTGGCCAGGCGGGTTGGTATAGAGTTTGTTTCAATTATTCCTTCTCTTTGCAGTACTATTGTCCTGTGTTTTTTGTTTCCACCCACAGAATGAATAGTAACCACATGGACAATACCAATATTAATGTCCCATATTTCTTTCAGATTCGAGACCTACACAGAAAACTCCACGGCTATTTTCGAAGAGCTCACAATTGTGGGCAGTATGCCTACATCGGTCATCATGCCAGAATTCGGTGCTGACGATTTTGTCGTCTTTCCTGTCTCCGAGACGGTCTCCATCATGCCTCTGGAAGTCCCGGACTTCACTTACTATAAGAACGTTACAGGCAATGTTACCGTTCACACTTTATCCTTGGATAACGTTTCAGCAGAATTGTATATGTTTGGGCTATGGGGGAGGCTGTTCACGACCGATGGAGAAGACCCTCATCCTTCTGTAGATGATCCTTCTTCTTCTATAGTTCACATATTGAGTCGAAGTTTGTTAATGTGTATTCTAGCAATGTTCGCATTCAACCAGTATTAGTATATAATAAATTTGATTGATTCAAATGTTTACAGTTTCTTATTTGTTAAGTTTGTACATTGAATTGAATTTGTTTAGATAACATTGACAATGATTTAATTCTTTTTGTCCTTAACTCACACGTTGACATTGTAAGTTGGTGCAGCGGAGGTATGGCTCGACTCGAGTATGGAACTTATTCTGAAAACATGATTTTAAATGATATGTACATTGCCCCTAAAAATATACGGTGAAGTACATAATTGACCCCCTTATGCAATGTCTTTTCAGGAAGTATGAATAAATGAATTTCAGTCTGCACGTTAATGCAATGGTCTACGTCCCTCTCCCTCTCTTTGTCAGATTTTAATAACACTCTCACTTATACTAGTAGGCACTCTTACACTCAGATATAGCAGGTAAATAAAAGATCGCAGCGATTCATATCAGTATCTATTGAAAAAGTACATACTAAATACAAACAATACCTAATGTTTTCTAATGTTCATCAGTTGGGCGTGTTCATCTCTCCTCGGATGTTTCGCTTCATTAACTGTAGAAAAAAGAAGTTACGTTTTATTCATGACAAACTGAAATATCTTTCAAAGACGTACAAGGTTTGGACAAATAGACATTTAATATGAACCTAATAATATTGAAATTTAAAGATTTTTTTTAAACTCCTGCAACGTGCAACAATTTCATTAAATTTATACAATAAAATATTGTTAGGTTAGCCATAAATTAGTATAGAAATAAATAATTTATTCCGATTTGATGGTTTATAAAAAAAAAAACATTTAATAATTAATATGTTTGACAAGGTGATGATTATTTATGAAAATAGGATTGAATTCTCTAGTTTTATTTTAACAAAATTATGGTACATTACAGCACGTTAGGTGTTTTATCTGTGTTTTTATCCAGATGCATATATAGCTTATAGATATTTCTACTTTGTATTAATAACAATCTAGAGTAAGGGAAAATATTTATGCTGGGAAGTTATCAGTTACACTTATATAAATAAACTCTTAAACATTTGTGCGTATATACTTAATAAAGAGTTTGTTACCTGAACTTTCTCTTCATAGGACAGATCGGTTTTTGTAAGTACGTAGGCAAGCTTAGCCCACGCAGCCTCCGCAGTCATGTCATACGCAGGTACCACACCGCATTCAAGAAGAAGCTATCAAATAATACATTTTTTTTTAAATCTTAAAGAAATAAAAATAACAAAATAAAAAACAAAGAAAAAAATAAAAAACCGGTCACGTGCGAGTCGAACTCGTGCGATGATAGTTCCGTACCTACCCATACTATTACCATATAATATTTTCTTTCACACACAACATAATTTTGTTTATTTACATTATTTCAGGTTGGTTCGAATTAAGCTAGTACTCTAAATTGTATGAGCGCCCATACAACTCAGAACACTTAATTGGTGTCAACTATGTATGTGTAAAAACACCCTTTAGTATTTAACTTTTTTATTTTTTGGAATTTTTTCTTTATTTGTACTGTAAGACATGCTTTTAGCCAAATTTCGTGATTCTAGGTAAACTGGAACTACCATATAGGTTTTCAATCCAAAACCTATTGGGTACTCCCGGTTGACCTAGAATTGTCAATTTTGGTTAGAAGTAAGGTTTTACAGCACAAGTTAAGAGGAAATTCTGAAAAATAAACAAAGTTGAAAACTAGGTAAATTTTGGTACTTACAAGTTTTCGCGAAAAGCTAAATTTGCCCATATCTTTTTATCGTGTTGACTCAGAACCTTGATTTTTATACACCTAATAGGGACTATAGACCTCAGTATCTGGTATAAATTTCAACTTGTTAGGTCTACCCGTTCGTGAGAAAATTGGTGGTGACACACGTACAGACAGACGGACAAGAGAGTGATCTTATAAGGGTTCCTTTTTTACCTTTTGAGGTACGGAACCCTAAAAATGTGCTAAAATTAATAAAAATGTTACACAAGCCAACGAGAAATCGTAACTCGACCGACTGGAGGTAATTCGGAAACATCTTTTAAGTAGTTAAGGTGGCCAAGAAGTATGACCGAGAATGGGACCTAATGATAGATCTAACAACAGCTCTAATTTTTTTTTACTTACAATAAACCTAATGCAATAATTCTCAAGATTTAAATTTTAATCTCAACTCACCAGACCCGTTTCATACAGAGGTTTGGCAAGGACCGTTCCATTTATGCACTGCGTAACGTTGACGATGAGAACTTTGTTCTTAACTGCATTTTCAATTTCTTTGTAGATCTCTTTTCGTTTTATAGGTATGTTGCCATTACCGTACGTTTCCAAGACAATACCTGACCAAAACAAGGTTATTATTACCTTAAACGTATAAACTCTTCTCAAACGCAATTTAACCCTCCAGCAGACGATAATTGACATACCATAAATCAAAAATAAAGGAACAAAGATCTAAACTGACTGATTCTAAAGCTTTAATTGTACAGTAGGTATAATTGAGACTTTTATTGCTCAACACGGGGTCTTATAAAATTATATTGAAGTTGTATAATCCGTTCAGCCGCTACCAATTAATAACCATACTACTTTGCTTTGACAAAACCATTACTTCATACATTAGGGCCACGTTTTCTTTCAAGTTAGTACAACAAACAAGCAAACAAAACGTTAAAATAGTCTGACTACCTTCCATTCCAGAGCAGACCGTCTTAATGAGTTCGGGAGTAATTGTAGGTGCAACTTTTAATATGTAAATCTTCCTGCAGAGCTGGTCATGTAACCGGCACTCATCGGGCACAGAGCCCGGCGCATGAATCAACATTTTTGGGTCAATTTCCAAGGTCGCTTTGGCTTCCAGCAAAGCTGGGTAGTTCGGCGAGTCGAAGGCGTAGATTTTAGTGTTTGAGACTTTCTTAACTCTGCAAAATGCAATTAATATTTTAATTAAATGGTCCAAGGCATTATATCTCTTTCAATAGGGGAGAACAGGATTCTAACTGCTGTTTTTTGGTCTTCCGTGTACCTGTCTTCCTAACACATTGGATCTGTGTTAACAGATCCAATGTGTTAGGTCTCTAAAATATTCAAAGATTCATACGCTTCAAGTATTCATATGCACATTCATATTCGTATGTTCTTCCTCGGTCTTGGGTCATTATTTCTCAAAGCTGATTTCGCTCAGTTAAGAATTCGTGCATTATAACTGACTGATAAAGTTTGATACAATTTTGATTGATTACTGATAAAATTTTAACATTTACAAGTTTATATTCTTTCTTTGGTTTTAAAGTTTTTCAGTTTATCTTTCCATTGTCAATTTGATCATTTTACCTGGTGCCCCTAAAGAGTCTAGCACCGAAGAATACTGTTACTTCAGGTATGTGTATGGTTGCTGCAATCATCACTGCGCAGAATAAGTTGTTGTTTCCGTCACTACGCGGCTGGAAAATGGGCACCTGCAAAGAGCATTATTTACAAGGTTATGTACCTATCATTTACAAGGTATCCTAACTATAGGAACGTTGGCAAAAGAACGAATTTAGTGTAATAAAAAAACTATATTTGAAAGATGCCTATTTCCAGCTACATATAGGTGATTCTTGAAATCAAGAAATGCTTACACATAGACTTTAAGTTTTTCTTTCAATCTTTGATCCTAAGATGTTTTTGGAAAAGGTCAAGAAATAACTAACTTGTTAAACTGCCTTCTTTCTTATTGAACCTCAGTAGCGGAAATAAAAATCTTATGTGGCCCAGAAATAATCCCCGTAGAACTGACACTACGTGGCAAACTCAATGCACTTGTTTTTATGCACTACAAAATATGCAAACAAGGTTTCGTCTGGCTTGTTTGAAAGCTATGACCGATACCCACGAAAATACTCAAGACTAATGGTATTATTGAATTCCTAAAAACCATACTCACACAGAAATATGTCTGTAGTTAATTTTTGGATGTCTAAATAGTTGACATAAAGCACAAACCTGCGCTCCCGTTAGCACAACTGTCTTGCCAACAGATTCCAGCATAAAAGAAAGTATGGAAGCACCATACGCCGTTGTGTCAGTACCATGCAATACCACAAAACCATCATAATCGTGGTAAAATTTCTGTAAGGAGAAAAGAAAATAAGATAAAGCTCAATAATCTACACAATAATCTTGTTAATCTCCAATCAGTGAATAGTCAACATAAGCAGCTATTGTTATTAAGGTATTGTTTATGTTTGTTTTATTTTTAATTATTGCAAGAAATTGACAAAGTAGCGATATGTGGGTTTCAGTAAATCATTAACTAATAATTTAACTCAATCATGAATATGAGCGCTTATTAAGGTCATAAGACAGTATTTACATGCATTTGTAAAAACTATATATATGTATTTTTAAATTATGCTTTTACCACTTTCGTAGTCAACGTCGTAGAAACATAATTAAACCTACTTTTAATCTTAAACTTCTTACATGCAAATACCGGTTGCAGTTTTAAATATGAAGTTTCTTTTGTAATTGACTTTCATTGAAGAAGCGGATAATAAGTTGTTTAAGTTATCACATTCTTTATATTTGAATACGTCGTGTCTGTATTTCGATCAAAGTTCAAACCAACCTTTATATCCCTTGCTTGTCTGATCCAATCATCCATAGTGAAGTCGGAAGAATCTTTTAACTCATCATATTCGTGAATTTTGTATAATACTTTTAGTTCTGTATCTTTACCATCTGAAAAATTAAAAGATGCCTTGTATATAAATAGCCTCAATGACACTATGTAAATATATCTACTTCATGGTACGCAATAGCGTATCAATTATGGTTAGGTGACTGACTTCCAGTATTAGAGATTAAAATGCGATTGGAAACGATATGCAGCAGACAGTTTGCTCAATTTGAACTTTGTGTATCCCTTTTTTGTTTTTTTTTCTATGCGGAAATCCCCTCGTATACCACCTACTGGTTTTCTATGTCGGACTCGCACCTACTAAAAACCAGACACGGTCTCGGTTACCAACAGCAAACAGTTGTTTAAAGTTCACTGCAACACTCGACCATGTTATCCCATTCATCATAAAACATATACATCTGTCTTGTTCTCATTCTTCTGTCGTCCAGTATCGAAACGCGGCCGTGCCCTTGAGGGGATAGTAGAGCAGTAGGCGACTAAGTTCTGCTTACGATACGAGTAACACAGCAGTAAAAAGATAAACAGCTACTGATCCTATCCTTATCATTATTAGGTGTGTTATCAATTTCTTACTTCTTTTGTTCGTTTTAATGACGTTTTAAGTATAGATAATTCGATAATTTTAACTCGCAAGGTCGCTCATCAGGAGGCATTAACGACTTCAAAAATAGATAGTTATGTCGATTGAATTCTCGTAATAAAATATCGATCTCAGAACCGTCAAAAAAGGAATTTTCTTAGTAAAGTATTAAACAACCAACTTTGGCTGTAATGTGATTAAATCGTATTTTAATTGAAAATTAAATCGGTAATCTGCTTATCTTATTAATACTTTACTACGAAAATAACTTTTATAACAGTTGCGATATCGAGAGTTGATCAAAACTGAATTTTGACTGGACATTTATTACGAGAATAGGCCTTCTGGTCAATAAAATTACAAGTGGTACATTTCTAGATTTGGTTTTGTTTCATATTTTGTACTTACTAAGATAAGAGTTTTGATTGACAATAGTGGCATTTTAAAAGCATATCTAAATGCAGAATTACGTTTTGATACACACCAATAGCCTTCTTGCATGGGCCTGTTCGTATAGTGGTAAGTAATACAAACTCCTGAGAGGTCGTTGGTTCGAATCCCATCCAGGAAAACTAATTTTGTAATAAGCATGATCATTTGTTCTTATTCATTTCTTTTTATATATTGCATATTTTATAAACATGAATTGTACTATGGGATTGGAGCCTTTAGAAATATATAGCCAGAAATACACAAAAACTGATGAATAATGACAATAATACTAATTTAAATATAATAATTTATAATACATAAGCTATTTTCATGGCTGAATGGGCCTGTTCGCATTATATTATACCTTTAATACCACAATATGTACCACCCCATTTGTAGCAAATATATAGGAATTTGAATTTGAATTTGAAATTACGCTCCATGGTTTAGCTCCAAAAAAAATTAAAAAAGTAAATACATAATAATAATACAAGTAAGTATAACAATACAAACTTATATTTAACAGAATTATGAGAAAATGTAAAAGAATAACAAAGGCCTAGAAATATTTTCGCGCCCTCACTGTGTTTCATCATCATCATCAACAGCCTATAATAGTCCACTGCTGGACATGGACATGGGCCTCTCGTTAGAAAGGACTAAAGGAGGTTTTGGCGTACTACAATGCCGGGCCAGACGGGTTGGTATAGTTTCTGTCAAGTTTTCCTTCTGTTTGCAGTGCTGTTGTCCTGTGTAGTTTGCTCCCTTAGTCCACTCCTACGACAGCGACGGGATGAATAGAAGTGGTTTTAATCCGTATTCTTAATCCGTCTCCACCCGGACTACAATATTGTGTTTATTGGCTACAAATGTATGACTAGTTATTACAAAAAAAAATGCTGCTAACAGAGACTATAGATATGTCGCGTCAGATCATAAAATCATCATCACTTCCTTTACAGCCAGTGTTGTAAATAGTAAGTCAAACAAGTAATCAGAGACAAAATTATAGGCAGATGACGTACCTGGTATAACCAAATATTCGTTCAGATCTGTTCCAGCTAGGTGTGTCTGCCAATACTGTTGGTCGTGTAGTTGTGGTAATTTTCTGATCACTCTGCGTTCTATGTCCTTCTGCGGCACCAGTACTAGAAATTTTAAGACATACATGTTAAACATTTTACCTTTTTTTAAATCTTTTAACCATTCTAAAGAGAGGCCTATGTCCAGCAGTCGACTGTTAAAGGCTTACTATTAAAGGCTTTACGGATGGTTGATGAAATATTTTACATTCATTCGTATTTTCACGAAGAGTACAAAGGCTTATTAAACTCTTTCACAATTTACCAACTAAATCTTGGTGCCAATTACGGATTTAAAGAAAGAGAATGGTAAACGTGGGTAAAGGCAGAAGACAATGGAAAGAAGAGGATATAGAACGCTTCTACATCAACATGACAACATGACATACCCTGCTGATTTAAACTATTGACAATTGTTGAATGCAATTGTCGAATATGTCATAATAATGTACTTATTGATGTCCTGTGAATTAAATTTCTAATTGAATCTGGAATCTTGTTCTATTACATCTAAGTAGGTACTTCATTAATCACGTCATATTACAATTCGCAACACTAATTCAGACTAACATTCCTCTGTACCTTCTCGAACAAATTTTATAAGTAGGAATTTTAATGTCACTTTATTTGTTTTCCCCATTGTATGTATAAACTGTTTTATTTGTTCTTTCCCTTCATAAAATATAATAATATAATTCTACTGCAGGGCATTAAATTAAACAATGCGACAGTGATAGAGGTGCAGATGTTTATTTAACACATATTTTGTTAATTATGTGTTGTGAAACGCAACGCCGTTATATCCAAGCTGTAATAAACGATGTTGGTGGTACCTAATCTTAATTTTACCTATAAAACTTACAACTGTTATCTTTATGAAATTTATCTCTGTTTACCCAAATAAAGTAAAAATATGTTATTTTGATAAAAACGAAAATATATATATATAATTCGACTTTACTGTTGTAAAATAGTGATTCCTCTTTCCGTGGTATGCGTTTTTAATATTTTGCCTTATTAATATTTTTATGTTTTGTTTGTGTGCTAACTTTTCTTCTATAAATACTATCATGAATTCATTACCTTTTTTAAGACAGCATTGTAAGGGGAGATGACTCTAACAAAAATTAGCACTTTAAATTTCAATAAGAAGCTAAGGAATTACTAAATCAAATAAAAACCGGTCAGGTACGAGTCGAACTCGTGCGCCGAGGGTTCTTTACCTACCTAGATTTTACGTAGATTTTCGCGAAAATTTGTAAGTAAGTACCCAAATTTATCTTAATTTTTAACTTTTTTTATTTTTTTGGAATTATTCCTTTATTTCTGCTGTAAGACGTTTATTTTGCCAAATTTCGTGATTCTAGGTCAACACGAACTACCATAAAGGTTTTCGACCCAAAATCTATAGGGTACTTCCGGTTGACCTAGAATTGTCAATTTTGGTTAAAAGCAAGATCTTACAGCACAAGTAAAAAGAAAATTCTGAAATATAAAAAAAGTTGAAAATTGAGGTAAATTTATAAGTTTTCGTGAAAATCGAAATTTGCCCATATCTTTTTATCGTGTTGACTCAGGACCTTGATTTTTATACACCTAATAGGGACCATAGACCTTAGTATCTGGTATAAATTTCAACTTGCTAGGTCTGAACCCGTTCCTGAGAAAATCGGTGGTGACACACGGACAGACGGACAAGAAAGTGATCTTATAAGGGTTCCTTTTAAAATATAAATAGCTAATAATATATAAATAGATCTTTTACATACTTTCAAGGTTGTGAACAACCACTATATAATTAACAATACCCTCCTCCATGTGAAAAAACATCATTGCCATGTTGCTTAGAGGAGAGAAACCCAATTAATTTTTTTGTGACTACCGACCCTTAAAAATCATAAATAAGTATGAAAAAAGAACTTACCTCCTTTTTCATTCTTCAACATACCAAAAGTACCGCCGGTATATATAACAAGCACCCTTTTACTTTCCACCATTTTGACTAAGAAAATAACTTTTATAATAATTTAAATAATTATTTAATTATGATTATTATGAATTACACATTAATCGGCGTTGTGTGCGTCGTATCTACCTACGGACGTTAGTAGGTTTGTAATGCAACCTTGTAAGTTGTAACACAATAACGATATAGATATCATTATCTCTGGCAACGATCTTTATAAATAGTTTCCTGTAAAATAGTGTTGTGTGAATTGTATCGATGAGATCATGTTCATATGACACCGTATAGTTTCGGGCGCAAACGGAACGTTTGTACTAATCAACATGATGAGATGGCTCTTTAGTGATGTGTGATTTTACGGTTAAACAAGTAGATTAATGATGACATCCTCTACTTATGGATACTGTAGACTCAAGAGTCATAGGTGCATTACCCGAATTAGAATTAGGGGAGTGGAGGGTCCGTAGAGCCACTACGGACGCCTCATTTACTCGGTGAAAAACTTGGTTTTCTGTGAGGCCTATCACTCTAGGGCACCATTTATGCCTAAGTATGGCTCTACGGCACAGCATTTGCAGCTAGTGGATCCCTACCACAATGAAAATGAGTGTTCTGGTCACAAAAGCAAGACACCCCTTCAGGTAATATAGGTAGACAACTTCCACACATATAAAAATTGTCGACCCTCAATGGGGGGCCATTATGGCGTGTGGGGAAGAAATTTTAAACGTCCCCCGCCCGTTGCCGTACTCTGGCCTCATAGCACTCTTAAACCTACGACTAGAGTTCGAGTAGATTTTTTTTATCTCGGATAGACCTTACACCTAATACATTTTATATTTTATGATTTTGAATCCGTTACTTGTATTACTTGCTATTTATTTAAAAAAAATGTATTTCAGTATTTAAATACTCGTTATTATTATAACACACGATAAAGTGTCATATCAATGATAATGACCTGCATAAGAGCACATTGTTATGACATGACAGTCGGAATTGATAAGCTTGACCTTATCCAAGAAGGAGAAACCGCTGCACAACATTACATAAGTACCAACGCTTATGTACTTAGGTAGATCATAAAGACGCGAAGGCATATAGAGGCGATGCCTCGAGGAAAATCAGAATGAATTAAATAAATGTGTTGTAATCAGTTTTAACGTAAATTAGGACAATGAACGATTAAGAAAGCCTAATTCGACACATTTCATTTCATCATCATTATCTGCACGCTGTAAGCTAATCATTTAGATTATATACACACACCTACATACGCACTTAATGAATAGTTTATAATCTACAAGCTAATACTAAACATTTTTTTATGGAATAGGGGGAAAGACTCGACTACCGCCCATGGACGCCTTCAAGTCAGGAGCCACAAGCGCGTTGCCAGCCTTTTAGGAAGGAGTACGCTCTTTTGTTGAAGTTCGTATCGGTCGGGAAATACCGCAGCCGATAACTTGTTCCACAGGTTGGTAGTGTAAGGCAAAAGGTGTCTTGAAAAGCGCACAGTGGTGGACTGGCAATTATCCAACTGGTGGGGATGAAAATTTTGCCGAGTGGAACGATGGCGGAAGGTTGCGGCCGATATTAGTCCAGACAATTCCTTGGAGCACTCTCCATGATATATACGATAGAGAATGCAGAGCGATGCTACATCTCTACGTAACGCCAAGGGATCGAGCCGGTCGCAAATCTTTTGGCTATCGACGATTCGAGTCGCTCTTCTTTGGATGATTTAATTAAGACTAGTCATTTGATCTAGTGGTTAGTGACCTTGACTGCTAAGAGAGCGGTTGGTTACAGTGGGTTATCCTTATGAGATAAACATATACCATCCCGGACTTTTTTAATACATATAATTTTGTAGTACATTATTTTGATCTATCTTGTAAGGATTAGCCACCGTTTGCAATATAAGCGATCAAAACCATGTTTTTAAAGATAAATCTTTTAAATTCTCTGATTTCCTCTACTATAATATGCATGTATTGTTTATATAAGCCTTCCTCTTGAATCACTCTTTCTGTTGGTAAAAGTCTAATTAAAATTCGTTGCTTAGTTTAAAAGATCTAAGCGTACAAAAGCGACTTTATTTTATACTATGTAAAGATACAGAAGTATATATTTAGAAATATTTAAATATGTTTATCAGCAGTCTGATTAATCAAAGCGCAGGCTGTCTTAAGATATAAAAAAGGTAAAAAAAAAACCTTATAAAAACTAGATTTATTTGTCCTCCAAATAAACTAACGGTCTTAGTAAAGCTTAAACCCATCCCAAATAACATTATCATAACGATGTAACATTAATGCATTTAGTTGCTTAAAGTGAGATAATAAAGCTGTAATTTTCTACATATATTTGACATACATTTAATAGACATACACTAAATGAATTGCGTTCGTACATATTTCACACGCCCCGTAGGGGATCGAAAGAGGCGTGTGATATAATGTTCTTATGTATGAGCGAGCACACCGCCTGCGCCGCCCGTCACTTATCAAATCTTGTTTACGCTATATTATTATGACACTTAGAGCAACTCATACTGGCGCCATAGTGATAAGAAAAGAAAAACAACATAACATTATTATGCATTTATTTATTAAACATTTTGTCAGTAACATCGTGGGACAACAACAGGGGGATCTTCCGATCAGGCGTGGTAATAATGCCTGGCGAACCGTTGGTGTTGGTTGGTTGGTTGGTGTTGGTGTTGGTTGTATATTTAGTAAGCGGCGCGAGAATTTTCCTCGTTGATGGCGCTGAACTATGTTTTTGTTTCATTATATGTGGAAGCCGCCACAGCGTCAATACTGGATATTAATTTTGTGATAGTAAGTTAGCCAGATCAGTATAGACATGAATAAACTACGACTCAAGAGGTGAACTGTAGCAGAAGAAGGATCATCTACAGGAGGATGGGGGTCTTCTCCATCGCTCGTGAACAGCCTCCCCCATACTCCGAAGGTATACAAGTCTGCTGAAACAGTATTCAAGGACAAAGTGTATACGATATCATGCCCTGTGCTATTCCTATAATAAGTGTAGTCTCGAGGTTCTAAAGGCATGATGGAGACACTCGCGGAGACAGGAAAGATAACAGAATCGTCAACGTCGAAGTCGGGCATGACGACCGGTCTAGGCATAGTGGCCACTATTGTGAGGTCCTCAAAAATAGCAGTGGATTCATCTTCGTAGATTTGGAATCTGAAAGTGTAAATAAATATTTCAAATCATTTAGACTTTCATAAACTCAAGTATTTAATTGAAACAAAAAATGATATAAATGACACGAAGCGGATGCAAAGTTTTTGAAGTTAATAAATTAAACCCGTTCAAATGCGAGGTGCGCCATGCGCAGTGGAAGATTGTTTACTTCGTTAGGTACTACTTACTTCCTAAGGATTATATTCCTATTTTATTTTGCCTCTTTGTCATCTGCTTATTGTATATTCTCAAGCAAAAAAATCTAGTACTAATAGTCTATAAGCTAAGCCGAGGACGGACGGAAAGACAGACGAACATGTTGAAAGTGTAAGTGCCCAGTTACTATTAGGGAACCATAAAAAACAAAGACGACAAATAATATGATAAAAGATAAAAGACGAAGCAAAACCCACCTATTACCACAAGTGTCTTTAAATTCTCCAGTGCAAGCAAACACAGCGCATATTCGCGTACCACCACTTGCAAGACCACTGTATGTTCTCACTCCGCTAAACGCCCCAGCCCTGTATTGATATGTCTGTTGAAATAAATTAAAAACTTGAAAATGTCTCTCTGATGCATATCATTTGAAGTGTCAAAAAATCTACTTTGTCGCAAAGTCATAGTCTATCTTCGGTGGAAAGGGCCCGGTTAGATGAGGAAGAGCGAGAATTTAATTTTTTGGTCATTTTACCTATATTACTGAATTCGCTCAATTATTATGTACCGTTCTAGTGATTTGTGTTGAGGGAAAGAAATGCAGTATTGAAAAAGTTCAAAAAACCCTGTTAAAATAAATGTTAAACTTCCAGCAATTAAAATTATTATTATTTCGATTAAATTATTCTAAAATGCAGAACATTTCGATGCCGTTGATTTAGGACGTTTAGCAACAGAAGGGATATCAGTACATTATTTTTTTTTAAGTCATATGAACAGTATACCTTTTTTTTTTGTCATCTAAGATTTTTTTTGTCATTAAGATTATAAGAAAGACAAGATATCGGTCTGAAGTGCTGAGACGGATATTTAGTACAGTGCCGAGTGCACTTCACACCAAACGCTACAACGTAAAACGTCATTGCGCAATTGGCAGTATGCCAGTGAGTAGGTATAAGCGCTCCGCCTCACACCAAAAACTGTAGTTAAGTATATTAATATTATTACTTTATTACATATATATGTATGTACAGATGTATAGAAGGACGACACAATGTCGCAATAACACAATCGCGTTTACAAATAAAACAAACATAGCGAGTATTAACCAATAACATTTTATATTTTACAGGAATAAAATCACAAACAGATGAGATAAATCATATGATTCATAAATCATATCATCACACGTGTGACAGACTTACAAAACCACTGCTACTTAATTATTATTAGTACCTGGATGACCGAGCTCCGCTCGGGATTTTTTAATTTGAATTTGCATTTTAATTTAAATTTTCTAAAAATGAAACCTAGGCAGATCGATTAATCGCCCCCGGAACTCCCTGCATACTAAATTTCATGAAAATCGTTGGAGCCGTTTCCGAGATTCAGATTTTATATATACCTACAAGAATTGCTCGTTTAAAGGTATTAGATTACGCTAGCGAAGACCCGCGTAAAGTCAAATCTAAAATCAATCTTTGATTTCAATGCCATTTATCTTTGTCAATGACGAAATCACAATCACATGTGAAATCGCTGTGACTAAAATCAATCATTTCATCAAATGAATAACCATATTTACTTATAATTTCCATGTCTACTGTACAGCTACTACTGCTAGTACAGTAGATTTATACATAAAATATGAAAGACACATACGTTTTATGTGTAATAACAACTCAGTACACATCATAGCCGAGTTTCTAGTATTATATTAAAGTGCCGATTTTGCTAAAGTGCTGATTAAGTAAGGCCTGAGATGTAGTCTAAATGTTTATGGTACCATGGCAAGTGACCTGGTCAGTTGAGGTATATTGTGCCTTTAAATAGCTTAATAACGGATACTGTTGCTGAAGGCTGTCTTGTTTGGAGGCGAGAAATCAATAGTACTGCAGTCGCGCCTATCGGACACCCAGTGTAACATGTTGTACAGTTAAGTAGGCGCTGGTATTTAGTTATTCTAAATATTAAACATAGAAAATATAATTTTCCACATTACATAATAACACTGAAGTAAAATCCGTAATAATCTAAATTAGAATTATGAAACAAATTAATTAGGTTTAAATTCTTTTTCCATCATAAGTGCGAAAAACAATAGTCAGTACGTGCAGATGTGTTGGTCTTGGATTGAAGGTATGTTGTCCGCCATTTATAATTGCCTAATATTGGCGATCTTGGTTGTACTTCATTTCTTAATCCAGCCGATCTCATCGCAGTATGGTTTTAGCCTCTGAATACTTAGTTTATTATTTAAACTTTTTTGGCAAACTACAACAATTCGTATACTAACAATAAGATCACGTAAAAAATTCCTAGAGAAATATACATTTTTCAATAGTAAGATATGATAATTACATGTAGTTTTTATTAAATGTAGGGGTTTTGAATTTGCATCTTTTTATTTTGTGTTCCATACATAAAAACTATTAAAATCACTCTGAATGGCATGTTAAGTGGTAGGTGTATAAAAGAATTTAAAAGAAACAAAGTTAGTACCTTTATGTAGTTTGTATCTTTGTGTTATTTTTTTTTGTTTCTGCTTTTAGATTCAGCTTCCTCCATGTAGATTGATATTTAACAGTAACACTATAAATATAAGTTAATTTAAATCGAATTATTCATAAAATTATCTCAAACATTTGTTTTGAAAAGCTCGTCTATAATCATAACGTCAATTTATTATCTTAGTGCTACATAAATACCAACATAAAATCTATTATCACTTCAAAGTTAAATCAAAAGATACTCGTAGTACGATAACGTGGATACTGCTATGACCACAGAACAATTCTTTTTACTTCGGAAATGACCTTAGTTATTTCCACACATTGGGACTCTTTCTTTGAAGAACGCGAATTGAACTTTGATTTGCAAAAATATATTTCTTACAATACAAAGAGTATAACAAATAATATGACACCAGGTTTGTACCAGATGTCATTGTGAATATTTGAGACATTAGTCTAAAATCAAAGTACTAACGCACAAATATTTATGTTTATTAAATTACTCAATACTCTCTCCATAAATATGGTTGAGTATAGTTTCGAACTTTTCAATATCTTCATCAGTTACTCCTTTATTGTGGTCTTTATCTCTATTGTATAGTCTGCCCCAAATACCAAAAGCTACTAACTCATTTTGAGATCTAATTAATTTATATATTAATGTTTCTTTTGCATTTAAATTTAAAACGTCGTTTTGAAAAATAGATATGTCATTTTTGCTTGGGATTTCACATTCAGGAAAGTCAGATTTATTGTTTAGTTTCGTAGAACCGTAAGTAAAGTTTTCAGGGCTCAGAGGAAATTTGTTATATCTAAATGATAGTGGGAAATATACGACATCTTCGCACTCCAGACTCCTGTTGTACTTTTGGCCATATGTGTTCATTTCTATTTCGAGTTCTTCTATTGTAGCTTCTTCAGTGTGATTGAACCTAAAAGGAAAATATTGGTTAATAAATATTTATGGTTTTCACTTATTTATTAAATTGAAATTATCTAATCTGGATGCGAACTGCCCAAGACCGGGGTATTTATATTATTATTGTGTGAGATATATTATTTCTTTCGACAGTTAGTCGACGACTTGTGACGATGGCCAATGCGTATTGCATCTCAGCATACCTCAAGTACGCACATACGTACATACGACAAGTTTAATATAAAATCGTGTACCTATATGGACAAGATGTCGGTTCATCGATTTTACAAGCAACGAGCAAACAGGAAGCGACACCAATCTCTCGGCGAGAATAAGTGTGAGATCCGTCCGTCGCAAGGGCACGATACTGAATAGCCTATAAAAAAGAAAAAAAATAAGTCGTACAGAAATGGTGACGCAAAATTGAAATTAAATTCAAATTTCGAGTCTTAGGTCGATTTTATTGATGCAAATGCAAACTAATGCAGTTAAAATCATAATGTAATTTAAATTATTGAATTCCGAGCATATGTATATTACCTAAGTTAGTGAAACCATAGCATATATAATTGGGAGATAAAAATCTCTTTTAAGTCAAAAGTTTTTCAAAAATTTATTTATTTATTGTCATAATTTTTGCCCTTTTATTAAACTTCTAGCAACATGGGCCTTACGATACTGGTTTTCTTATTAACATCTCCAAATAACTTAAAATGCTTCTGTTAGAAACGGCGTAAGCGTAACCTCGTAACGGATGCGTTGAAAAACTGACACAGTGTTTTTGTTTGACTGTATATTATGAATTAAGAAAAATTGTGTAGGTGTATAGATCTGAAATGTAACAAAGTACTTAGTACTTACATCCATATAGACACGTGTTAAGCATGCATTCTCAGTGTTTATATAGTAACAAACATATATATATATATATACATATAAAATAAAGCTTAAAAGATTTTTACTGTCAAATTTTGGCAAACGATGCAAAAGAAAAGTGGTCTTTTTTCCGTTCGTCTTAATATCCACCGCGCAAGTCAATATTTAAGATAGACTGTAGGCTTGTGTGAGCTTATACGTGCCCATGTCATGCGGTATTTATTACACAGAGATCTTTTGTTGGGCCACTCTTGCTGAATTTGCGGTATGACTTTAAGGTGAATTGGTAACCGAGCCTAAATAACTTTTTCTATCTTTAGTAGTCCCAACGCCGATATAAAAATGTCTGTAGGTACATGGATGTTTTCCGGACTGCCCAGACATTTATAAGTTGACGTGCGTAATAACAAGAACTGCCGAAGAACTGAAGATTTGAAGACCAACATACCGGCTACCAGGTAGCGGCAGTAGGCCACTGCCCGAACTCAGCCGTTTTGTTTTCTTCTTCTCGTATTTTAAAATCCTTAATCGGATACATCAAAAGTTTCGTAAATAAAAAGTGTAAGCTTAGTAAAAATATTTTTTAGCCTTTTTAAAAAGGAAAACCAATAATTCCTTAAGGAAAATGGTTTTGAAGCTGATTTTAACAATCGCCATAATAAGTGCAACATAATAAATCTTACCGTATTGCTTTTGTTGTTAAGCCTTACTCGAAACCTGCAGGAGACATCTTTGTCCACGATTGTGAATTCTTGTAATCCCTGCACTAAGGGTCTAGTGACGTGCGCGGAAATCGATGGATCCTGGAGCATTCTCAAATTGTCATGGTCCGAGGGATTGTCATAGATCGGGCCTGGGTAATTATTATCAGCCACCTGTTTCGTAAATAAATAAATAGCTATTAGTATTTAAATTGTGTTTTTTATCTTACTTATATGTAAATAAAAAAATGAAAAATTTACAAACGAATAAAATGTAATAAAATATCATATTTGATTCATTCATGTCATCCTGCGGTCTAGGTAAAGCCCAGTCCTCTGTTTGCCACTGGGACTATGGATGTATTTGACTATTGGAGTGAGACGCGGTCTATGTTAACTGGGGGCACGTTTTGCGTCTGAGCGTTAAGATGTGGTGAGACTTTATTGTCTCATCAAGGTGGAGGACTAAATTGGGGAATTGCGGTAGCTCACAGTTGTATAAGGTGAAGTAAAAATTCTAGTTTAATATCGGTTATAGGAGATGTACGGCTGTAACAGGGATTTCTTTTCTAGGGTACACCTGGTTCGGGCACGCCGTCATTGCGGCGGTAAGACCCGTTATGGAGGATTGGCTCGAGAGGCGTCACGGGACCCTCTCATACCGATTGACGCAGGTGATCACTGGGAAGGGATGTTTCGGAGATCACCTGTGTCTGATCCGCAAGGAGCCAACGCCTGAGTGCCACCACTGCGATGGCCAGACCGTGGACACGGCTCTCCACACGCTGGCAGAGTGCCCGGCGTGGGTTGAGCAGAGGCGAGACCTCGTGGCGGCCATCAGAGTGGGAGTTCTCTCGCTCGATAGCCTGATTGCGGCTATCGTGCGGAGCGAGAGTGCGTGGAACTCTGCCGTCTCCTTCTGCGAGCAAGTTATGCTCGCGAAGGAGACGGCGGAGCGGGACCGGGAGAGGTTTAGAACTCTCCCGGCCCGCCAGGCCCGGGCACGGGCCAGGCAGCGCAGGCGACTCAGGCGCCGGAGGTCGCAGAACGACCTTCGTCCTCCATAAGCGCAGGCCTGGGGGTGACAGGTGAGGCCATCTGTCACCCTAGCAGAAGCAGGCCGGGGTGGCGGCGAGCGCGTTGCGAAGCGCGCTCGCTTCCAGGGAGCACAGGGAACATGGGGTTCCCACACGGGGCGGGGGTCGTCTACTCGTCTGTAGATGACCCGAGGTATGTCGGGGCACCAGGGCCTTCCTTTCTAGGGTATACCTGGTTCCCCGGCTATTAGTACCCGGCGAAGGCGTGCGGTTTTAGTCGGTTCGAGTCCGACATGCCACCGACAGGTGGTATCCGAGGGGATTTCCGCACGGAAAAAAAAAAAAAAAAAAAAAAAAAAGGGTACACCTGGTTCCCCGGCAACTGGTACCCAAGAAGGAGTGCGGTTTTTGGTCGGTTCGAGCCCGTCATAACCACCGGTGGGTGGTAGCCGAGGGCATTATGTCTTTCATATGTACTAAGATAGTTCAAGATATAAAGAAATAATATTAAGCGAAATAGCTTACATTTCCTGGTACTTTAGGTACTTTCGCTACTAAAAGCCGTGTTGTAGGCAATCCTGGCATGATGCTTACCAAAGCACCGGCTTTTCCCGAATATATTCCTGACCCTAAAAAAATACAAAAATACAGAATTTGAATATGTTTAAAATTTTCGCAACGATGTTATATTTATGATTTAAAACTCTGTTTGTGTAAGTTTCCTCTTCCTCATGCCTGTGTCTGTAATATTTTGTTATTTAATTTATAAATATTTTTATTTAAAATGTATGATTTCTAATATACAAACTTCAATTATAATTTAATGATTTTAGTATAAGTAAAACCTGAAAATTCGGCCTTTCCATCATTAGAGGCTTATTATATGATAGCATTGTACTATTTTTAAATTGTCTCTAAACTCTCAAAAGATTGTTATTTTCTGGTATGATTACGAGGTAAGGGGTAAATTCATAATTTCGAAATAGGCGGTAGTCTTGATTCAAAAGAACCAAAAAAGAGATCACGGAACTTTTAACAACATTTTACGGAGCTTCACGACTTCTTTTGCTGTGGGCCATCGCAGACATTTAATGTATTTATGTCTCGCCTCGTACACTGTTTTGTATAAAATTATATATTATCTAAAGAGAGTCTATTTTATTATACAAATAAATTAACATACTTACCACCGGAGCCTACTCTCACATTATTAGCGCCAGCTCCTAAGAAATTGACATCCATAGTATACGCGTACGCTTCTTGAATCTGAACAGCTGAAAAGCATAATTTTACACATTACGTACTATAAAATAATAAATAAATAAAATAAATTGACCAAAACTACTCGAAGAAAAAGATTGTAATTTCTCTAATCGATAGTGTAAAGAATAAAACTAGTCTAAACTTTTTAAATCTTTAAACAAATATAATAATTTTACCTGTGATTATATAATCGGAACGTCAAAAATAGGGATGGAATAAAATCACAATCACTTGTGAGAAATCATTTGATTTATACATCATATAATCTCATCTGCGACTAATTTACAGATCCACTACGGTTTATTATTATTATTGCGCTAGCGCCAGACTCGTAAAAGGTCTAAATCTATAAAATCTTTTTCATTGTCTATGACGAAATCACAAACACACGTATAATCACAGAGTGACTAACCAATCATTTTATCGCATGATTATGATTAAAAAATAGCAATAAAATCCGTGTCTATGAGAGACAAGACAAATGATCCGGCTCTATCGGAGTGACACCGCAGGCTCACAGAAAAACAGTGGCGGGCGAGGTTACCTTTCAGTCAATCACCTCCCCTCTGTATCTATTGAGTTCCAGGTGTCCATGGGAGGCGGTAGTCACTTACCATCAAGTGGTCCTTCTGCTCGTTTGTTCCTCTTTACCATAAACAAGACGACACGCTTGTTCTAAATGAACTACATAACCGCAGGTAAACGTATTCATCTACTCTCGTATACTAAGCTGTCTTAGCTAGTATTGGTTTTTTCCTCCGAATTATTTCATTTGTGAACATCTTTTATATATAATATCGAAATGTAACATTCAAACACTTTATTACTATTTTCTGCACATGAACTAACGGTACTTACTATAAACCTCAGTGGTTTTACAGTACCAAAAAAACAATTATGTTATGTTGTAAAAGTACAAATAATAAGGTATAGAGGTATAGGTATCGTTTAATTGTTACATAAATAAAATAAAGTAAATGGTGTCAAATAAATAAATAAAAAGTAAGCGCATTTGAAGACAGCAAAATATACTAACCGGTTAAATAGGGTAACTCCGAGAACCACATAGTGCTGAAGATTATATCTTTGATATTATGTTTCCGGACGACTTGAATGGCGGGCACTTGGAACATTAAATCAAAACAGATGTAATGACCGAAGGTGACACCGAAGTCTGTCGTGAACACACCCAAGTCAGGCTTTAATGCTGGCGTGTGAGTTGCTTCCCCAAATAAATTAATTTTCCGGTATCTGGAAAGCGTAAAAAAGGTGTCTGGAAGAAATCGTGTTTAGGGTAAGGTTGCCAATTCCCAAGAACCAATTCTGAATCTTCGGTATTTGTCTATTGCGAATTTAACAGTGCCTTATTTACAATATTTACATAAAACTCTCAAAAAATTCCTTAGCACAATTGCCTACTGGTAGCGTTCCCAGAAGGCTGGCAGTATTTGGCAACGTTCAATGGCAACTCTTATTCACTGTGCTAGAAAACTAGGAAACTTCTAGTCACGAGTAGTGTCGATCAGTTCCTTATCTAGTTATTCATATATAGAACGAGCACTTGAACCCCATGACCCTAGCAGATACCGACACCGTTCAAAAATATGAAAACCTTTAATAACATATACGGATAAACGTATTATTTGTGATATACGAGTATATACAGGACTATATGAACAAAGTAAACACACAACAATTTGTTTTCTTTCAAATATTCAAATTGAATACCTGTCAATGACAGATCCATTCCTGTCAATAACAACATTTGTGTTGAAGATGTACAGCTGTTGTTCCGGACAATCCTCGCCTTGTTGCGGCTGTCGACAATCGACGCTCTCCCGACCATTTATCACCACATATATCGCATTTCGCCGAGCCGCTGCGGACATTGTTACGAGCAGCTGTAATAAAGTTACCTCTTGTGTTTTAAACTTTTTTTCAATTTGCTAAGGCATCAAACTACGCAGGAAAACTGCACTGCAAAAAGAGAAGCAAAACTTAACCTATACCGACCCGTCTGGCCAGCATGGTATAGTAGGCCAAAACCTCCTTTCTACGGTGAGGCCTATGGCCACCCAGTGGAATATTAAAGGCTGTTGATGATGATGATTTAATTTGCAAATATTATCGAGATTATAAAACTCTTTGGTGAGAGTGGGAGCCATGCTTCGGCACGGCTGACTGCACGGATGGCGTAGTGGTTTAAGCGGTCACCTCGACGCTTCTTACTGCGCTGAGTGTTGTGGGTTCGAGCCTCACATGGGAACACACATGAACAAATTGTTCTAAAGTATGGGTGTTCTTTGCGTCCGTTTCATGTATGTGCGTAAAGTCCCCCGCGACACAGGATATACTCGTATTGCTGGTGTGGGAGTTGACGTTAAAAAAATATGTGGTCGGGCTGGCTCGATCGCACTGGTCTCTCAGTAAACCACTGTTAAGCAATTCTGTCTTTGCTTTTCATTGAATTAGGGTTACTGGAAGTCCAATTCCCTTCCCCTAATTCAAATCCAATCCTCACTATTTATTATTTCAGTGGGGCCTGCCCACTAGGGGTTGTATTCATACGTCCTTTTACTAGAAAAGGTTCAGAAAGCGTTCCTGTGATTATTATAAAAAGGGAAAATGGAAACTATCCTTTATATATCTTGGATAGCTTAGGATATCACTCATTAAGTGTAAGGAAAACGCATGATCAGATCAGAACAGTGTGTAAAGTTTTATCAGGAAAAACTGAAGCCCCTGAGATTCACCCTGATGTATCTTGATTGTTTGTACCTAATAACTACAGGCGTAGTAGAAATCACAGACTATTTGCACCACCTATATGTCGCATGGTAGCTCATGTTAATTCCCCCATTCCCAGTGCACAACACTCAACGCTCTTTTGCACTTGAGTCCAAGACTGTGACTTTTTTGCGGATGGATGGCAGACGATTATGTCAGTATGTCTGGTGTACTGCGAGAAGTCTCTGTGTTAGAAGGAGTGTTGTTTATTATTGTAAAGTATCGTTTATTCTATATCAACGTTATTCTCTTAATTAGTGTAAGTGGCCGTTCAGATTAAGAATAAATAAATTGTATCGCTTGAGTTGCATCAATGTGTGACGATAGATATTCACTATCAGGACTGCTTTCTGCTTTGCCCTTTCTCCAAAAAAAAAACCATGATTTTGTTCATAGCCTTCTTATTTCTAACAGCCTAACAGTAAATATATATGCAGATAACAAAAGTGACAAATGCTTAACTTTCTTGAATTTCTGTTTGCGAAAAATAGATTAGGTATAAGCATGCGCTGCTAGATAAAGAGTTATTATCAGGAAAATGAAACAATGCAATTAAAATAACACATACATAATGTGTTAATTTTACTGCATAATTAATTATATTTAATTGCATAGTCAACTATAAATGGATATTAATTTTGACAATGTATAACTGCAGTATACTGTACTTTATGAAAATATAGATTAAGTTTGGACATCTGACAATGGCAATAGCAAATAAATCTATATATGTAATAATCAATCAATAAATAGGATTAAAATAGAAAATACACGATAACTTACTCCATCATAGAGATCAGGTCGAAGTGCAGGTATCGGGTACTCCCGCAGGAGACCATGGATCGGTACGGTGAAACTGGTCGTAGCGTTAGTTAGAGTCAGCTCTGGGAATACTATCACATCTGCATTCTGTAATATAAATAACGTACGATAGTTCCTTCATGTAAACCGGACTACTACGCACTAACGCATCTTAGCCTCAGACGTGACACGATTGATGGATTTCCTAATCTCTGTAGGGAGCGCATTCCATTGTAAAATAGAATGGACAGCAAATGAAGAGTGAGTAAGAGAAAAAGTGTGTATCCGTTTCAATTCACTCTAAATTTTACCACCTTTAATTCACAAAGTTACCGGTTGACGCCTATGGGATTTCAACTATTACCAGTGCCCAGTCCCCAGTGAAGGGTACCTAATTTTATTTAAAAAGGTGACCATTTCTTTCGGACTTATATACTCAATCCTGTATCCCTAGGCGTAAAGATTGTTGAAACAAAAAATACATACTTGTTGAGCAGCTTGCTCTATGAGTGCTTCATAGTTGGCTTTGTTGGCTTCTACATTGTTGTTCACAATGTATTCAACTACCGCCGCCACGTAGTGATCATCTGCTGGGGTAGACCTCTGTACAACATATAAAGTAATACATTAAATACGTACTGCAAGCGCTTCGCAACGCGCTCGCCGCCACCCCGGCCTGCTTCTGACTAGGATGACCTAGGGTGACAGATGGCCTCACCTGTCACCCCCAGGCCTGCGCTTATGGTGGACGGAGGTCGTTCTGCGAGTCGCCTGCGGTACCTGACCCGTTCCCGGGCCTGGCGGGCCGGGAGAGTTCTAAACCTCTCCCGGTCCCGCTCCGCCGTCTCCTTCGCGAGACGGCAGAGTTCCACGCACTCTCGCTCCGCACGATAGCCGCAATCAGGCTATCTAATCACGCCGGGCACTCTGCCAGCGTGTGGAGAGCCGTGTCCACGGTCTGGACATCGCAGTGGTGGCACTCAGGCGTTGGCTCCTTGCGGATCAGACACAGGTGATTCCCGAAACATCCTTTCCCAGTGATCACCTGCGTCAGGCGGTATGAGAGGGTCCCGTGACGCCTCTCGAGCCAATCCTCCATAACGGGTCTTACCGCCGCGATGATGGCGTGCCCGGCCGCCGCGCCACCTAAAGTAAAATTTATTGCTAACTAACCTAAACTAACTAGCCTTTGCCTGCAGCTCTAGAATTTTAATGAAAGTCATGGAGATACTTTAGTATCTCCATGACTTTCATCAAAATCGGTTCAGCGGTTTAGCCGTAAAAGCGTGACAGACAGACAGAGTTACTTTCTCATTTTTAATATTAGTAGGGATAAAAAAGTCAAATTCATTGTGTAAATTTAAATGTTTACACGGGGATTAATGAGATAAACTGACAGGTATTATAAACCTGTAAGTTGATTAACGTTTCAACCAGGTGGAGTCCAGTTTTACCGTGCCAGAGCAACCAGGAAGGGCAATTCTCGTAATAAAAGTTCGGTCACAATTCAGTTCCGATCAACTCTCGATCTCACAACTGTCTAAAAAGGTATTTTCGTAGTTAAAGTATTAACATCTAACATTGATTGTAATGTGCGTATATCGTATTGTAACAGAAAGTTGAATCGGGAATTTGCTAGTTTTAGTAATACTTTACTATTTTACTACGAAAGTACCTTGATCATGAAAGAGCCGAGTGAGCGGCACAGAAAACCGAATTTCCTTTTTTTTATGTCCCGGAGGCCGAAGGAATTAATGTAGTAATAGGCTAATACTTAAGCAAACCATCCTCAACGGTCTCCGCTTCGTATTAATGATTGGGTAAATAGCTAAAGCCGAAAATATCGTTGGCATCTTAATTAGAAGTACCTATACGTATGTAAGTTGATGGGCAAAGGAAAAACAAGAGAAGTATCGAAGAGTGTCAACAGCTCGGTATGGCACTCATGGTGTTTATACAAGCAATTGCGATTTTTATTATTTTAAAAGTGTTGTAGGAACCAGAAATGTTATTTTGCTCAAAACACTTATTTATTTTGACGACCGGATGGCGCGGTGGTTTGTGTAACGGACTGCTATTCCAAAGGTCGCGGGTTCGATTCCCGCTCAAGTCAAACGTTTGTGTGTATGAACATTTAATGTTTGATTTGGTCTGGGTGTTTCTATGTATAATATGTATGTATTTACGAAAAAAAAGTATATATGTATTTATATCAGTTATCTAGTAGCCATAGTACAAGCTCTGCTTAGTTTGGGACTAGATGGCGTTGTGTGAATGTGGTAGATTATTATTATTATTATTATTATTATTTGCCTGAGAAACCGTGTTCTAACCCAACTGCCAACAAGATCCGTGTAAAAGCACCTATATGTAAAAGCAGCTATATACAAGAAGGGAGATATTGCTTATTGACAAAAGAAAACTACTGAACGCATCATTTGTAAGGCTGCCAGACTGTTTAATCGGACACAAAATTGTAATATCTTATATATCTTCTCTTTATAGATTATCTTGTACATTAAATGTTCAATGACATTACTGATTTATAAGAAAGGTATCTTAATTATTATTAATTATCATCAAAACATTAGCATTTCCTAATTAAACAACCTTCAAAATCCTCAAAATAACTTTAATTTAAGCACATCCGCAAAGAAAAACTTTCACAGTGCGTCTTCCTTTTGGCAATGAAATAAAAATATTAAAATATTTATATCTTAGAAATTATCTGAGACACAGCGATATAAAACAAGTCATTCCTACAGGCAGCTCTGAAAAACAGTTACGTTGTATTTAATGTAAGTAAAAAGATATTTATTTTATTTTTTAAATTATGTTAACACAAAAGAATCATACGTAACAATGAAATAATGTATTTAAAATCAGCACATGGAAAATAACAAAAAGTAATGTCAATAATTTATGTTACTATTCAACTAACCTCAAATGAACTCGACACGACACAAAGGAAAATTAAAACGGGGAAAAACATTTTGAAATCGCCTCGACACTAAGCTAAGTTTCCATTTGCACATTATTTGATGTAAACAAGGCGAGACAAACAAATCAATACGCCTCGGCGCCGTGACGCACCGATACAAAAACAAATTAAATTTCACAACGCCGTGCGCACGTCACGTCCTGCCGCTTAGCGGTCGGAACATGCACTGTCTATTTAAATACAAGACTACACTCCTGCCTGACCTTTAAAACCGAACAGAAATAGCTGTAAATAGTTATGCATAGACAATAAAAATATTGGAATCAATAATTAATAGCATTTTATTTAACTAATTACAGAAGGCGTCTTTGAAAACTTACAGCGTAATAAAAGTAAAAAGAACTTAAATATCTACAATTCTAAAAAGCTGTATATGTTCGTATATCCATTTCTATTTTATCATTTACCTAATTGCATGGCAGATAACTCACAGCAGTATATCATCTGGAATTGGAGCCGCCTACTGAAGAAGCACCCCCAAAAAATAAAAGACCGTGGTTAGACTAACCGTATAATATAAGGAGTAAACTGATGGTTAGTGTCCTGTTGAACATAGGCTTCAGTTAGTTAAACAGGTTACCCAGTTATAGCCTTTTCATATTTATTCATACAATGATGCCATAGTTCCCTGGGGTTATTTGTCAATGCCAACGCTGATGACGTTTGAAAGAAGAATTAAAAATAGTTCCACAACTACCTACACATAAAAAAAAAAAAAAACATTTCATGTCGTAACTGTTGCAGGGGTACACTATTATTCTATACGAAAAGTGGATCACATCACACATCACATCAACAGCCTTTAATAGTCCACTGCTGGACATAGGCCTCTCCTTAGAAAGGAGGTTTTGGCCTACTATACCACGCTGGCCAGACGGGTTGGTATAGGGTTTGTGTCAAGTTTTCCTTCTCTCTGCAGTGCTGTTGTCCTGCGTAGTTTGCTCCCTTAGTCGCCTCTTACGACACCCACGGGATGAATAGGTAAAAGTGGATACGAGCTGATTTTCAGTACGAAACTCAGGTGAAGTCACAACGCGAAAATCCGGCAACACGATATAAATAAACACCAAAACATACAATAGTGCCTAAACAATTTCATTTATAAAAATACACGCTATTTACGTTTGAAATATCCTCCATTCGTCAAAGTCTTGTAATATGGCCAGGATGACAATAAACCTCTTGAACTACCAAGTTTAATATGTTTATTGTCCACTGAGGTTCAAAGACATGATCACTTTGAATAGAATTAAATGCAACCCTAAGTCGTCATGCTATTGTTCTTAATCAATTTTTGAAAAAAAAAAGAAAAGAAAATTTCAAATGCAGCAATTGAAAATACAATTTTAAAAAAAACTGTATGTTTACTGTTCACCTATTTCAACAACTTTTAAACACTTCAAAAAATCAACAACAATCGTTTAACACTCCAAGAAATGTGCATGCATGCATGCATCAATTCCTTCGTATAAGAAATATTATTTTCTTCTTAACAAAAAGGCAAGACTGACACACTGACGACAGAAATGGAAACCATTCTCTTTTAATATAATGCCGATTGTCCAATATACGATTTTCAAAGTGCTTTCGGCAGTTGACGTCAATAGGCTTCCTCCCTACACACTCACACTCACCAAAATATAAGTGTCAACATGTGGGTTGTAAATTAATGTAACTTTGTTTACCTCTTCGGAGACATACTCGACAGGATAACGTAAATAATCTGTGTCAATTTATTATGTAGGTACCAGGTTTTTCCTGCGGATCCGCCCGCGTGTAAGTCGCCTTTCACGGTAAAAAGTACCGTGGCTTTCCATTAGTGAACGAATTTTTAAAATTGGTTTAGTGTTTTAGAAGTGAAAGCGTTAGAAACAAACAAACTCACTTTCACATTAATAATATAAGCATGGATGTAATGTAATCATTATAAATACTGTCATATATACGAATAGAATGCGTAATGTTTAGACCCTTCAAATCGCGTTGCTCAGAAAGAACCGGAGACATGAAGAAACAAAGCTATGAAAACACATAAGATATACAACTGGAAATAACGTTTGTGTATAACTGGAGAGGGGTGACAGTATGTGATTGCTGATACTGGATGACTAACTATGCATTGTTCCTGCAATATTTAAAACAAAAAATCAAATTGATATATTGATCCGTGATCAAAGCGCTTGAGACAGTGCCGAATTATCGGAAACTAATTCCCGAAAATAAACATGGTAAACATCCCGTTTACAACAACTTATCAAGAAATAAGCAAATCAATTGGATACGACGCGGACTGGACTCGTACTTTTTCTGAAAACAATAACAAAACAACAAATTGCTATCTTAAAATTAAATCGACCGTATTCATAACATTGCTATCGACACATTCTTGAAATTTATTTTTACATTTTTTGTCGCGGCCCATGTGTAAGAGAAGGGAATACTTATTAAGTGCATTTTCATCTTTTAAATGATAATGACTTGTGATTGTAAATCTTATTTACTTTTAAATAAGTTTTTAAATAAATGAATGGTTTTGTCTGCAACGCAAATAACCTTTGCGCAGTTGGCTGTGTTCTTAAGTTAAAGTCAAGATTGTATTGAAGTATATTTAGTTAACTTATGATTACATTGAATGAAATTTTATAGTAGTTAATTGCTAAGTGTCTTTATATCTTTGTCAACCCTTTCATCGTTTTTTAGTTGCTTTAAAACTTTTTATTAAATATTTCTAACTTTGCTATGACGTCTTATAATTAAACTTACTTGTGAAGAAAGTCCCACGACTGCCAGCACTAAAATAGCACTAAAGAGTTTCATTTTTAAAACGAAAGAATACACGGAGGAGTTTTACAATCTCACACTTTGTACAGAAGACTCGCATGAAAGTGGTCCCGTACTGACTAATAAACAAGCATTTATCGAAAAGATTGTAGACGTGAACACGTTTCCATTGTTGTATGCCGTACTATAATAATATCATATTTTCATACCTCTGATAACATAATCCACTTTTAATACATTTTTAACTCTTTCTATAAAAAAGTGTTTTGTTATGTGAACTTCACAAACTTTGTGTATGTTTTATGAGATAGGGGGCATAGCGGAAGGGCCACCTGATACACCTGATGATAAGTTATTATCCATGGATATGGGCACCATGCCCATAGACACCTCAATAGTCTTTTTCGTCGACTTAACCGATTGCCAGGAGCTAACGTTACAGAAATAGTTATAAGTCATTCATCTATAGGAAAAGGTTTTACATTTATTATTCAGAACCTAGAAGTAAATAAAAAAACTGCGTATTGTGTGTGTGACGTCACAGAAGGTAGATTTAAAAACTATGAAAAACCACTTCGATGAAGTCGTTGTTTTAATATGAAATAATAATATAATCTCACTAGGCATCAATCTAGGCAGAGCCTGTGCTATGGTGAATATGTAAATATGTATAACATTGAAATTATTTTGTTTAAATAATGAGTATAAAAGGTAGCTTATGAAAGCAAATATCTAATAAATATTAACACAATTAAAAATATAATAATCAGATTTGTTCAGAAAGAATCATAGCGTGGCGACGCATGCCGTGGCGACACGTCGTCACTTCAACAGCTGGTCGCTCTTTAGATGTTTCACATCAAAACAGTGACTTTTAATATCAATGATTTTCCTGTTATGTTTTACGGTTCAATTATACAAAAAGTCTTGTACAGTTTAGAAACAATTCAATGGAAACGAACAAACCAGCTGGGATAAGGGGACATCCCGAACACAAACAGATCGCATATAAATAGGTACCTACGTACGTGCAATACATTGCCTTAAATGCTGACGACATTGTGTTAAAAGTATCTATTACACGGCTTGTGTTGGCTTAAGTTATGAACTAACAATTATCTAATCTATGGCCTAAATAATCATCGTAACTAATTTTGACAGATAACGAGGTTTGCCCTAACAAAAATATATGGTGATGCGGTTAAAAACATTATCATTAATCATCAACAGCCTTTAATAGTCCACTGGTGGACATAGGCCTCTCCTTAGCAAGGAGGTATTTGGTTACTACACCACGCGGAACAGACGGTTTAGTATAGGGTTTGCTTCAAGTTTTCCTTCTCTTTGCAATATGCTGTTAATATGTTGCTGAATAGTAATATTTTATAAATAATGGAGAAACGGAATTGAATTGAACCTACGTAGGAAACCTAGAAGGCGGGTTTAAATTATTAACTCTCATACTCGCACGCTGTCTCCAGGTAACCAGGTATAAAGGAAAGCCCTGGTGCCCTGGGCAATCGACGGCTTAAAGATGACCCCCTCCTGTGTGGGAACCCCAATGTTCCCTTCCTGTCCTGTATGTTACTCTAGAAGAGAGGGTCACTTCATTCGTCACAGACGTCCGAGCTTAGACGTAAAATGAAGAACACTCAATTTACACAATTTAAAAGGTTCCATGAATACTGCTCATTCAGTGCCTCGTTCCGCTGCCCCGTGTCTGCGCTCATCCGATCATCCGATACATGTGCATCGGATGATCACAATCATAAAAATGCTATTTATGGTAATTTACAACGCACACTTATCTTAACGACTAACAACTAACAGAATGATGACGATAAGACGTTACGTTGTTGTGTTATGAGGTGACATTATAAGTTAGAGCATGCAAACGAGAGGTGATAGTTCTAATGTAGTGAAGGGATTTATTGTAATACACAATCGAAATCAAATAACATAATTTATTGTTTTATTTTATGACAAAGGGAGCTTACGCAATCCGTCTGGTGACGGATTAAGAATACGGAATGTCACCACCCCTGTATAGGACGGATGAATATCCCGTGGGTGTCGTAAGAGCCGACTAAGGGAGCAAACTACGCAACACAACAACACTGTTAAGAGAAGGAAAACTTGAAACAAACCCCGTTTTTTTTTTTTTTTTTTTTTTTTTTTTTTTTTTTTTTTTTTAACGTGTGGAAATCCCCTCGGACCGTCACCCCACCGGGCGGCGGGGTGGTGTGTCGGACTCGAACCGACTAAAACCACACGGTGTGCCCTCTTTGCGCTTCCAGTTTAGGAGGGGTCCAGGTAGTTGACCAAATTACCAAATTTAAGTACTCACAAACAAACATAATCCAACTGAAAACCGTGTTACTGGTCTTAACCAGTAAAATGAATTCCTGATTCTTTTAATTTAAACTGTTAAGACTGTTGATTTATGGATAATCCACATGGAGACCGCCGCAAAATCCTTTTTTAAATAGGTACCTTCTACTATGTATTAAGTCGATAAAAGTGATAAAACTACAAATTACGGCTTAACTTAACATTACAAAAATTTAGTCGTGAAAATCGTTTTCAGAGACCTTTCAGCCCCTGTACTACTCAAATGGCGTTAAAGCAATAGTGACTCGTCGTGGCAGTTAAACTGAATAGGTCATTTGCCATTCAGTGTAACTGCCACTTATGGTGACCCGACTGCGTAAGCTCCTTCACTGCTTCACTTCAACAGCCTATAACAGTCCACTGCTGGACATATGCCTCTCCATAGGAAAGAGGTTTTGGCCTACTATACCACGCTGGCCAGATGGGTTGGTATAGGGTTTGTTTCAAGTTCCTCAAGGTAGGGACCTCTTCAATGATTTCGTGGAACGTATGCAACGGTGATTCAGGGCTTGTAAAACGTGTGCCTCTAAGTTTGTCTTCAATGTCTAGAAACAAAAAGAAGTCGCAGGGTACGAGGTCCGGGCTGTAAAGCGGATGCGTCATCAGTTCCACATTTGAAGCCTTCAAATAGGCGTGATCCACGAAATCGTGGAAGAGGTCCCTAAGAAAGACTGGACCGACTGCTTTGTACGGTGGTTTCAGCGAATTCAAAAATGCAGTAATTGCGATGGAATATACCTTGAAAAACAATAAACGTATCGTAAGTCTTATATCTAGTCTCATTTATCAGAATCCAGAAACTTTCAGTATGCCCTAAGTAGTAGGCCATAACCTTCTAAGGAGAGGCCTATGTCCAGCAGTGGACTTTAAAGGCCGTTGATGATGATGATAAAAAGAAATAATAATAATATCCCTCTGCTGACTTTATCAACTCCAAGTTTTCAAATGTGGATCATCCGAATTATATATACTTACATACAGTTTCATGTCGATGCAGCAATTAGAGACAGGTTAATATTAGTATGTAGGATATGATTACTTTGTTATTTAGTTATAACTGCAAAGGAAGCTAATAACGGCTTTTTATTAAATCGGTTCATCAGATATCAATTAAAATCTATACGTATAAAATTACTGGCCCTGACTGACTGAGTCATCAAAGCTGAGCCTAAACCACTAGGCCTTTAAACTTGAAATTTGACAAATGATGATTTTCATGTTGGCTGCATAGATAGTGTAGTGGTTTAAGCGGTCTCACTTTCTACCGCGCTAAGTGTTGTTTGTTCGATCCCCACATGGGACATCACTTTGTGTGATCCACAAATTCTTGTCCTCCTGAGTCTGGGTGTTCTTTGTGTCCGTTTCATGTATATTTGTGAAGTCATATCATATTCTTAGTAGGACAGTTGCCTCTAAAAAAATGTTGTAAGCAACTATAAAAATTGACGGAATGAAGAACGGAAATTTTACCCCTAAGGGGGTTAAATAAGGGATGAATGTTTGTATGGAAATTCGTCATATTCATAAGTAGTGAAACCGAGGGCATGTAGTATTCTATATATTTCTTTAGGAAAAGCTCTTTCCTTTAATATTGACGTCATTTTAATAATGTTGGCAATATAATTTTTTACGATATCTTGCTCCAAACGCCTGACATAGACAAGTGATTAAAATTCGACTTACAGGAATGCTATTACATATTACACAGGATAAATGTGTGTGAATTTAAGTTACTTTTTCACTTTAAAACTCAATGAATTCTAATTAAACTTTACACTATTTACTTATACTATTTGACCCAAAATTTTGAAAGACTAAAACTAGAATTCTGTAACCTATCCCAAAATTAAAAATTACCAAATTTAAGTACTCACAAAGAAACATAATCCAACTGAAAACCGTGTTACTGGTCTTAACCAGTAAAATGAATTTCTGATTATTTTAATTTAAACTGTTAAGACTGTTGATTTATGGATAATCCACATGGAGACCTACCTACTACCTACTATGTACTACTACTACTACTACTATGTATTAAGTCGATAAAAGTGATAAAAGTGATAAAACTAAAAATTACGGCTTAACTTAACATGACATAACACAAATTTAATTGTGAAAATCGTTTTCAGAGACCTTTCAGCCCCTGTATTACTGAAATGGCGTTAACGCAATAGTGACTCGTCGTAAATTACATCAGTTTATAAATTATCGTCCTAATATACATAAACTAAAACATTGAATAGAATAGATTAAAGGAAAAAGAAAAAAAGCCTTTTCTCGTTTTATCTCTTTAAACAAAAAACTAACAAAATTGTGTACGTATGTTGATAGCTATTTTAATTTCAAAGGCACCTTTTACGCATATTATACCTATGTATATGATTTTGTATTAGATTATCAATGTAATGTCTTTGCACGACAACAACATTTGTCTTGCAACGAGTATATTAGTAATTTACTAATATACTCGTAACTTGTAATAGTTGTAGATCCCTTTTCCTCTAGTTTTAGCAATCGTACGCATGCCGAGAAGCTAGGCGTTCACGATATGCAAAATGCAATGTTGTTAAAATTTACAATAAGTAGGTATGCAAGCAAATTGAAGTCAATTGTTTAGCTTGCCTTCTAAAATGTCTATAAATTAT